TGAGGGAAAAGGTGATCCCAGGTCTGATACATTGGACAGCAGATTACCATTCCTGTTTTACAAGATTCCTCCAGAAATGTTAAGCAAGCTCTGTATGCAACAACGTTCCATTCTCAATTGTTTACGTAGCCTCTGTCTTCTTCTAAAGAACAGATCCTTGGCATCTGAATCCAGCCTCAGGGGACCAACCTTCTACTATTTCTAGTAGAAATAGGACTCTTACCTTTTGAGGATCAATGCAATAACTTTTAAGGAGTGGATGAAAGACATTGGTTTTCCATTTTGACCTGAAAAATAGAATCAGTGTCAGGATGACAATTAATTTGTGTTTCTCAAGTTGTGTAACATTTATAAACAAATATTCATCTGGAGTCAAGGGAATATAATGATCGCCTCAACCATTTTGGACTCTACCTCAACATCAAGAAAACTTGAGTACTGTTACCAGGGCCGGATTTAGATGAGAAGAGGCCCTAGGCTATTCCACTTATGAGGCCCTTTCACCTATAGTGAAAGTGTAATTTTAATTTTGCTAACAATTTGAATGTAGGCCCCTCTTGATCTTGAGGCCCTAGGCTGAAGCCTAGTTAGCCTATAGGAAAATCCGGCCCTGACTGTTACCAGCTCTGGAATGCTTCAAAACAATGGAGAAAACCTAAAGAAGGTGGACTTTTTTTGGTATCTGGGATCCCATCCCATCCTATTTCCAAGGCAATGGTGACATCAATGGCGAGGTGTGATCAAGGGTGATTGCAGCCTGTATGCATTGGCGAGAACTCACCGGTGTGTTATGTGACAGACAAATGCCAACCCGTCTTAAACCTAAGATTTACAAGACAACCATCCACACTGTTGCAGTGTAGGGCACTGAATGCAACAACAGGGACCGAAAGCTCTCTCCATGTTATGGAAATGCGAAGGCTCCGTTGGGTATCAGGCATCTCCCTTCTTGACCGCATCCCAAATGACATCATTTGACAACATTTTGGTGCAGCACCAATTATAGAGAAGATGAGAGAAGGCCAGCTCTGCCGGTATGGACATGTCCAGAGAGCAGCATCTTCCACCATGGCCAAGACTATCTACCAACTAGAAGTCACCATGGCCAGCGACCTTGCGGGTCTCCAAAACAGAGATGGCAAGACAGCATCAACAGAGATATGCAAGCCGTGGTCCTGTGCCCTGGAGATGCAGCTGACCATGCAAAGTGGCATTCAGTGATCCCAAAAGCAGACCCTGCACCTGCGGAAATACCCTAGGAAGAAGAAGAAGAGTCAAGTGACTATAACTGGGTGAAGAGCTTGATAAGGATAAGGCAAAAAATGATCAAACCAAACTTCCTGCATTTGGAAAATATTTCAGCAATATTTAAGTCAATGAAACTTAGGTAATGATGTTGTAATTATGCAGGGTCCTATATACATAGTCAAATATTCACAGACATATTTCCTCTGTATGCTGAATAACAAGAAATGTTGCATTTTTGAATAGGTAATCTTTGAAAAACCGTGTAGTGACCAAAACTAATAATCCATGGAAATAACATTCAAATCCCTGCCAAATGCATAGCAAGGTAAATTACTTTCTCTTACAGGGGAAGATGACATGGACATATTTAGGGCTTTTCTGTTGACCAAAGGTAGAAAATGTCTTCCTTATTCCATAGAATCCCTATAAGAAGAGGACACTGTATTGCATTTTGAAGGGATAGAGACTATTTTTAGCCTACCAATTTAATAATAGCAATAGCACTTAGACTTATATACCGCTTTACAGTGTTTTACAGTCCTGGGCTGTCAGCTGTACAAGTTCAGTGTCTTTAACCACTGCACCCCTTTAATAGAGCTTAGGATAGCACTTATAGCAATAGCATTTAGACTTATATACACAGTCCTTTAAGCACTCTCTAAACAGTTTACAGAGTCAGCACATTGCCCCCAACAATTTGGGGCCTCATTTTACCCACCTCGGAAGGATGGAAGGCTGAGTCAACCATGAGCCAGGTGAGATTCAAACTGCCAAATTGCAGTCAGCAGAAGTAGCCTGCACTACTGCACTCTAACCACTGCGCCACCGTGGCTCAATAAACTCATATTTGGAATCTTTTATACATCTAGAATACAGGTGGTCCTTGACTTAGGACCACAATGGAGCCCAGAATTTATGTTGCTAAATAATAAATTTGTTAAGTGAATTTTGCCCCATTTTATGACATTTCTTGTCACCATTATTAAGTGAATCACTGCAGTTCTTCAGTTAGTAGCATGGTTGTTAAGTGAATCCGGCTTCCCCATTGACTTTGCTTTGTCAGACGGGGATCATGTGACCCCGGGAGATTGCAACGGTCATAAATATGAATCAGTTGTCAAGCAACCTAATGTAAATCATGCGGCCAAGGGAATGCTGAAATGATCATAAGTGTGAGAAATGGTCATAAATAACTTTTTTCACTGCCATTGTAACTTTGAATGGTCACTAAATGAGCTATTGTAAGTCAAGGACTACCTGTACACTGGCTCCTGTAGATATGGGCGTAATGATTATAGTGTGTTGCATTAAAGACAAAACTCAGGAGTATGATAACATTTATTCTGACCAGAGAGGTGCTTTTCAAGCTTGATATCTTTTCAAAGTGTGGACTTCATGTCCCAGAATTCCCGAGATAACATATTGTCTGGAAATTGAAGTCCACACATCTTAAAGTTGTCAAGGTTGAAAAACTCTCAACACCTTTTCCTATAATGTCCAAGAGGATAGAAATCTGTGTCCTCACTTTTTTTTCTTTTTTTAAATTTGATTTATATGCCGCCCTTCTCCGGAGACTCAGGGCGGCTTACAATGTGCTAAGCAATAGCCTTCATTCTTTTGTATATTTATACAAAGTCAGCTTATTGCCCCCACCACTGGGTCCTCAATTTACCTACCTTAGAAAGGATGGAAGGCTGAGTCAACCTTGAGCCTTGGCAAGATTCCAACCTGCAGTAATTGCAGAGAGCTGGTCTTAATAACCAGCTTAATAACAGGGTGCCTTAGACCACTGTACTACCACGGCTCTTCAAGACTTGATCATCAAGGTCATTGGATCACCTTGGGTTGGTCAATTGTAGCCTCAGGTATCTCCCAGTGTTGTTGAGGAATGGGTAGGAAGAAAACCGTTATAAAATAGTTGGAGGATAGCAATAGCAACAGCGCTTAGACTTATCTACAGCTTCATAGTACTTTACAACCATCTCTAAGTGGTTTACAGAGTCGGCCCATTGCCTCCAACAATCTGGGGTCCTCATTTTACCGACCTTGGAAGGATGGAAGGCTGAGTCAACCTTGAGCCGGTCAAGATCGAACTGCTGACAGTTGGCAGAATTAGCCTGCAATACTGCATTCCACCATGACTCAGAATGGATGGTGAAGAGATAGAGTTAATGTTTGTATTATCTGTATTTTATCTTGGCTGTTCACCGCCCTGAGTCCCTGAGTCCTCCGGGAGTAGGGCGGTATAGAAATTTGATAAATAAATAAATGATTAAATAAATAATGTAATTAGTTACATGTCCCTTTCAAGTTCTTATTTGGACAAAAAATAAATAAATAAAAGTTCCACTTCTTTAGAAGTGGAGTTGAGTTAGAAAGAAGCTGTCAACTTTGCATAGACTTTACATAAATATGTTTCTGGTATTTTTTTGTTCCCAAAATGGGTGCATGTTCGAATGAAATATTTTAAGATGTTGGCTTTAGAACTAACGATATCTGGAAAGAACTTTCTATTGTCGTGTTTAAAACAAATCAACTCCAAGACCAGAAAGCTTTCCCTTATTTTTCCACTCCCTTTCGTTCTTGTTGAGACTGCAAGAGAAGAGTTTTTGCCTTGCATAATCTTGTCCCTTGAAGAGCCTCCAAGTTTTAAGGCCCCCCTCCCTCTCCCCTTTGTATCTTTAAAAAGCCAGCGTCGCATGTTTGCAATGCTGATCTGGCGTGACTGGAAGGATCGACCGCGGGACAGTTGCATTTTTCTCGTATCTGCTTTTTTTCAGGGTTTGTTTTGGGTTTTTTCAATAACAGGAAATGTAATTTCTGTGGCATTCAAACCTCTGCCTCTTGGTTTTGACATTCTGCTGAAGCAGAAGAAGCTTCACACGTTCATTGCCACACATATACTGTAGAAATGCAAAGTTTTCCTCACAATGTTGTAAGTCTTTGCTAATTAAATGCATTACTTCATAACTTGGGGTTAGCTCTCCAGTTAAATCTGCAATGAATGCCAAGAGCTTGGAACTTTAATCTTTATTTATTATGCTTGTTTTCCACTGTTCCTCCTCAGAGTTTCCCTACGTTTATAGAGAGGCAAGGAGAAAAGCCAAATGTAATGTTTTAAGGAGAAAGGAATCTTGGGAAAAGCCAAATATAATGTATTAAGGAGAAAATAACCCAATGTTGTGGTTCTTTCAGAAAATATGGTGCTGTTCAACAATATCTTGAGTTGAGAAGTGCCCTGTTTTCTCCACACGATTTTGAATTTGGAAAAACAGAACAGAACAACAGAGTTGGAAGGGACCTTAGAGGTCTTCTAGTCCAACCCCCTATTCAGGCAGAAAACCCAATGCCATTTCAGACAAACGGTTGTCCAATCTCTTCTTAAGAACTTCCAATGTTGGAGAATTGGAAGCAAGTTGTTCCACTGATTAATTGCTCTGTCAGGAAATTTTTCCTTACTTCTAGGTTGCTTCTCTCCTTGATTAGTTTCCATCTATTGTTTCTTGTTCAGGTGCTTTGGAGAATAGCTTGACTCCCTCTTCTTTGTGGCAGCCCCTGAGATATTGGAACACTGCTATCATCTCACCCCTACTCCTTCTTTCCAGCTGCTCCTCGAAACCAAAAACTACTTCTGGGCATCGTTGTAACACAGATGTGGGAATTGTCTTTCTTCTTTGTGTCTTTTTTTCTTGCATTTTTAGCATCCCTCACGATGTCATTCTCTTCTCTCTTCCTTTTGCTTTCTTCTTAAGGTTCCAGATGTCATCAGTAGCATAAGACAGGCTTCCAAAGCGGCCCTCAAAGAAGACGTCAAGCCCAATAAAGAAAATGAAGATGCCTTCTACAACTCCCAAAAATTTGAGGTGCTGTATTGTGGGAAGGTGACGGTGGCCCACAAAAAGGCCCCTTCCTCCCTCATTGATGACTGCATCGAAAAGTTCCACCTCCATGAACGTCAGCGCCTAAAACTGCTCAGCGAGCACTGCAGTGCTGAGTCCAGCACGGACCTCATGACATGGGAAGATGGCCCCTCTTCCCCCTTGGACAGTCCATTTCAGGAGATGGAAGGTTCCAGCGGAGGCACCCCGGGGATGTTCATCGTGGGGAGCCAGACCAACCTGGCCAGTTGCCGGACCTCTTTCCCAGAGCGGATCCTGGAGGACTCGGGAATGGAGGAGCAGCTGGAATTTCGTTCTCGCTGCAGCAGCGCTGCCAGCCTGCAAAGGAGAGTTCAGGAGAATAACGCCAAGCCTTCATCCCGAAGGCGCCATGCCAGCGCCCCGAGCCACGTCCAGCCCTCCGACTCTGAAAAAAACAGGACAATGTTGTTTCAGGTAGGGACATTTCCGATGGATCCTGTGGGAATGGGCAGTCCTTTGTTGGGTCAACTTTGGTCTTGACGTTTGAGTGCTCTTGCACAACATAATTTTATATCCATTTGGTTAAAATGCGTAATATCCATTGGATGTACAGCTGTGGGGCTTCGATTTTTTTTTTTTAATTTGATTTATATGCCGCCCTTCTCCGGAGACTTAGGGCGGCTTACAATGTGCTAAACAATAGCCTTCATCTTTTTGTATATTTATACAAAGTCAGCTTATTGCCCCCACAACTGGGTCCTCAATTTACCTACCTTAGAAAGGATGGAAGGCTGAGTCAACCTTGAGCCTTGGCGAGATTCGAACCTGCAGTAATTGCAGGCAGCTGGTCTTAATAACCAGCTTAATAACAGGGTGCCTTAGACCACTGTACTACCAAGTCTCTTAATAGTTTTAATAGTTGTGAGCTGGTGGGTGCCATTTGGGAGGACGTGGTAGGCTTTCGTGGAAGACCTGGCGGCTGTGAAGACTTTTGATTGACCACAGCTTTCATTTGGGTTTTTTTAAAAGAGTTCGAATTTTGCCATTTGAAATTTTTTAATGACTGCAACCATGTCTGCCTATGGCAGGGGGTGTCAAACTCACATTGTCATGGCGGCATTACATGATGTATCGGGACTTTTTCACCCTTTGTTAAAAAAGGGTTGGGCATGGCCAGCATATCTGGCCTGCGGGCCGGGAGTTTGACAGCCTTGGCCTACGGGATTGAGAGATTTGACAGTCAAAATAAGGGGTATTAGTACATAAGCATCTGGGACATTTGTATCTTCTGGAGTGTTGAAGAGTAAAGATGTGAAGAGAAGGAAGAGAGTTTCTAGAAGCAAATTGTTCTGACTTAAAAGTCTCCAGATCTCCACGACAGGGTGAAATTGCATTGTTGTGAGGTAAATACAAGAATGCAAAGGAAAGAGTGGGGGCGGGGGGGAGAAGGAAAGAGGGAGAATGGAAGAGAGGGAGGGAGGGAGGGAGAGAGAAAGAAAGAAAGAAAGAAAGAAGAAAGAAAGAAAGAAAGAAAGAAAGAAAGAAAGAAAGAAAGAAAGAAAGAGTTGGACGTGTTTTCATAGCCCAGTCTTGGCAGTTGGTGAAAAAAACAGCCCTTGCTCTCCATCTCTCATCAGTGGTCAATGGACAGTGTTACAATTGACCATGTAAGGAATTAAGTAAAAGAGCTCTTATGCTCTGGAGAGGCCCACAGCAATGAATATTTGCCAAACCTAGTTGGTGGGCCATTTTGTATTTTGGTGGAGGGCAGAAGTTGGCACCAATTACTTTTGCCAGAAATGAATACTAAGGTGGGAGTTGAGAGAAAAAATGGGGCACAGTGTGGAAGATCTTGATGCAGCTCCTGATCTGTGAAACCGAAGCCAAGAACTGGAGAGTGTCTCTGCAAGCCTTTCTCATTTTTTTTAGAGGGTTAGTCAAGCAGGTCCTTGGCAGCATCTCGGCCTCATTCTTGGCAGAACATCAGTTTGGGAAGCTTCCCTTTTACGTGCCTTTGATAAGCTCTGTGAGGAAATATTTCGGTGCTGGGCCCACAGTTTTCAGAGCAGCTTCCCCGCCCCCTCTGCCCCCCGCCTCCCCGAGATATTCTGCATCAACTCCTGCTTTGACATGTTGTTTTCTCTCTTCCAAGGTTGGTCGATTTGAAATTAACCTCATCAGTCCAGACACCAAATCAGTTGTGTTGGAGAAGAACTTCAAAGACATCTCCTCCTGTTCTCAGGTAAGAAGGACAATCAGAATCCATACTTGGAGAAATAGACGGGGTAGGTTTTGAACAGCCTACATTTTGACGGCCTACTGCAGGAGTATCAAACTCAAGGCCTGGGGACCGGTTGCGGCCCGTGGGGTGCTTAGATCTGGCCTGGGTGGCCGCTCTGGAAAAAGCGAAGGACCAGCCCATGGTGCCTCTGGCAGCAAAAACAGAGCTTGGGAGGGCCATGTGTACCAACCCCCCCCAATCGAGCTCTGTTTTTGCTGGCAGAGCAGGGATGAAATGCTACCGGTTCGCACTGGTTTGGGTGAACCGGTAGTGTCGGTGGTGCATGGATTGGCGAACCAGTAGCGGTCGCAGCATGAGGCTCCACCCAACCACCCGAACTTCATTCTGCGCATGCACAGAGGGTCAAAAACAGGTTACTTCCTGGTAACTTTGCGCATGTGCAGAGAGTCCAAAATTGCATGTGATGCACGCGCGCACTTCTGAACCGGTAAGTAGATTTCACCCCTGTGCAGGAGGCTGTCCCAGCTGAAAACTGAGCTCAGGAGCCCGTTTTTGCTGGCAGAGCACTTGGGCCACTACAGGCACCACCACCCCAACACGAGTGACATCATGCTGGCCACGCCCACACAGCCATGCTACCCCAGCCCTCCAAGGTCAAACACAATCCTGATGCAGCCCTCAATGAAATCGAGTTTGACACCCCTGGCCTAGTGGATGTAATGAAGCTAGATGACCTTAGCTTTTTCCCCCTGGTTTTCTTCTTTTCTTCTTCTATGGGATTTGGCCTTTGCTGACAAATATAGCTCTTTGTCAAACAGGAGTCCCAATTTTGGAGGGTGAACAGGGGACACATTTGGTATTTGGGAATGGTGCTTCCTAGATGACCTCCAAGATGAGGGGTTGTAGGAGATGACGAGGCTGAGCCTGAGGGAGGAGTCAAACACGTCATCAGTCTCGAGTCCCTTCACAGAGATCTAAGTCCAGCCCACATTGAATTCCATTGGCTCTTATCCACCATCAATTTGCTTTGGCAGTTAGTAATTCAGATTCTTGTAGAAGCATAGCCTACAGGTAGTCCTCAACTTACGACCACAATGTTGCTAAGCAAAACATTTGTTAAGTGAATTCTGCCCCATTTCACAACCGTTCTGGCCACAGTTGTTACGTGAACCATTGCAGTTGTTAGGTTAGTAACCCAGTTGTTAAGTGAATCTGGCTTCCCCACAGACTTTGCTCGTCAGACGGTTGCAAACATGACCCCGGGGCACTGCAATAGTCACAAATATAAGCCAGTTGACAAGCATCCGAATTTTGATCATGTGACCATGGGGATGCTGCAAAGGTCGTAAGTGTGAAAAACGGTCGTAAGTCACTTTTTTCAGTGCCGTCATAACGTTGAGCATTCACTAAATGAACTGTTGTAAATCAAGTACTACCTGTACAATAAAGCTATATTCATTTGATCTGCCTGGACTCCACATTTCCTGAGCTTGATAGGGACAAAGCACCAAAGACTCTTTCCTAAATCAGCAAACAGATGAGATGCCCCCTCTTCTTTCTTGGGGAAATCTGTCTCCAATCTGGTTTTCTTCAGATCTGCTTAGTTATGGCTCCCGGTGGGGGCTTCCAGCTCAAACCCACAATTCATGCTAGCCAGAAGGATGGGACTTGCAATGAACCAATTCTGGAAGGTCGTAATGTTGGAAGTAATATCCTTCTGGTTTCAGTTCCAAGTGGGGAAAAAGACACTGGATTCATGGAAGTTGCTTGGAAAGATGGTTTATTGATGAACAGATTCACATCAGTGGTGGGTTGCTACCGGTTCACTCCGGATCGGGCAAACTGGTAGCGGCGGTGGGAGGCTCCGCCGACCTGCCTGGACCAGAAGCGTCCATGCGTGTAAGCGTGTGCAAGCATGCCCACGCCCACGCCCATGGGCGAACCTGAATCACATGCCTTGGAGATCTTGGGTAAAAAAAAAAAGGGAAGAGATGCTGAGAGTCCCTGGGTTTTATACCCTCTCTGGCTTTGAACTTCCTGGGGCACAGGAAGAATATCCTGATTGATTGCTGTCAAAGGTCAAAACTAGCTTTTTAGGTTGTCTGTGTGCTAAGTTTGGTTGAATCTTGCTGGGTGATGCAACGAAGGGCAATTAAATGGCTCTGCCTGAAGGAGGTAGATCTTTGTTATATAGATTAGACTGGCTCATTAACAAAGCGGGGGGGGGGGGGCGCTGAGTTTCTGCCTCCCTTTTAGGGGAAATATTCTGCCCTTTTAATATTTCCTAAATATATTCCTAAATAATATTTCCTAAAATATTTCATTTTCTAGGAGAGGGGTGGGTTTTAACTTCCTACAGTAACATAGAAGAAGATTGGGTTTTCACAGTATTAATCTCCTTCGCTGGCCTGGGCCAACCGTTTTCTACTGGCGTTCTTTAGGGCCAAAGTTAGGGTTCTTGAAATATGTGTGCATCCTATTACTCTCTTCTGGGTTCTTTTTTTGGACTGAAATAGCAACACAACTTGAGATGGGTTTCGGGTGGGGGAAGTGCACCGCACCGGTTTGATTTTAAACAGGAAGGTTCATTTGTAAAGTCTGTGCAAGTTGACAGGCAATGTAAACACGAAAAGCAGCACATGGCTCATGAAAGGCCCCCTCTATGCTTCCTTGTTCCCTGGAGAACAATAAACAAAGGGATATGTGTTTTTCTGGCATCTCAACAGCTCCTTCTGAGCCGAGGACCGACTGAGCAGCTAAACTGAGCCTTTAAACCAGGTTGAGGAAGAAAACATTGGGCAGGTCTACTCAGAAGTAATTTTTCTGCCAGGAAAGGAGGCACGATTTCCCCAAACTTGCATCCTTTCTGTGGTGAGGGGCACTCCCAAAATATGTGTGGAGCTAAGGCAGTGATGGCTAACCTTTTTGCCATCGCGTGCCAGGAGGACCGGGGAGGGGGGGGTCCCACGTGTGTGCCCACACCCATAATTCTATGCGCCCCGAGCATGCACGTGCAACACCCCCCCACGTCCCCCATGCTCCTGGTACGCGATGGCCCGGTAGGCCCATTTTTCTCCCTCACCTGGCTCCAGAGCCTTTCTAGGAGTCTGGGGAGGGCAAAAACGACCTCCCCCCCCCCCGGAGGCCCTCCGGAGGCCAGAAACAGCCCATTTGCCAACTTCCAGTGGGACCGGAAGGCCCATTTTTTGCTGTCCCCAGCCTCCCGAGCTTCTCTAGGAGTCTGGGGAGGGTGAAAACGGCCTTCCCTGGAGGCCCTCTGGAGGCCAGAAATGGCTCATTTGCCAACTTCCAGTGGGCCCAGAAGGCCTGAAAATCAGCTGAGCTCCCGGAGTTGAGCTTGCAAACTGGAAGTTGGCAAATGGGCTGTTTCTGGCCTCTGGAGGACCTCCGGGGGAGGGGAGGCCATTTTCACCCTCCCCAGACTCCTAGAGAGGCTCTGGAGGCTGGGGACAGCAAAAAACGGTCCTTCCCCACCCCCCCAGGCCCTCCTGAGGCAGGAAACAGCCTGTTTCCCTACTTATGATGGGCCCAGAAGGCCTGAAAATCAGCAGGCCGGCGCGCCGGAGCTGAGCTCACGTGCCCACTGATATGACTACCATAGGTTTGCCATCATGGAGCTAAGGCAAAAGGTAGATCTCTTTTCAAGAATGGAATTAATTTCATTAATTTCAAATACAGCAAGATGGGATGAGCTCCCATTCCTGCCTCAGCTCCTGCCAGCCTAACAGTTCGAAAACATGCAAATGCAAGTAAATAAATAGGTACCACTTCAGGTGCACCTCGACATATAGTCATGCCGGCCACATGATCATAGAAGAGTCTTTGGACAATGCTGGCTCCTTTAGCTAGGAAATGGAGATTGAACAGCGCCCCCTAGAGTCAGACACAATTGGACAGGGGAAACCCAACCCTTAACCTTCGATGGCTTTAATCACTGCTTCTTTAATTTGCTCGAACTAAATGTTGATGGTATTGTTCCATTTCTCCCTTTCCTTCCCTCTAGGGCATAAAGCACATCGATCATTTTGGTTTTATATGTCGGGAATCTAGTGAACCTGGAATAAGCCAGTATGCTTGCTATGTCTTCCAGTGTGCTAGCGAATCTCTGGTAAGAATCTTCAAAATACCATTTGCATTGTTTGTTTGACACAGAACTGGGGAGGAAAAAAAAAAGGAAAATAAGGCTGTTTTCTGTTTCTGGATCCATATGACCTTGGAGTAATAGACTTGCTTGCTTCTATAGTTGGAACCGGTTCATATCAGAAAAAGACCAATTCTCTCTAGTCAAAGAATTGTACGTACCACATCAACCTCCCACAAAGGTTGTCCAGTTTCTACCTTCCAGAGTTTTAATGAGATCAACGAATGGTTGATTAGACCCACTAAAATGTTTCTCCTAATTCAAGTGAAATTTACTCTCCTGTTATCCAGTCTCTTTCTGGGCTATCTGTGTGTCTTCCTTCCATCAAGAGCCCAGAAGGGGCTGCCCACCCCATGACTTCTCAACCTTTTCTCACTGAATTTATCTTTTGACTATCTTCATGCCATCGGCTGAAGCCACCCCACTGGTATTTTCTTTAAAACACTCCAATTCAAATTTCAGTGCAGAATCAAGCAGAAGAATTATTTCTGAGCTGTGGTGGCGCAGTGGTTAGAGTGTAGTACTGCAGGCTACTTCTGCTGCCTTCCGGTTGCCTGCAATTTGGCAGTTCAAATCTCACCAAGGCTCAAGGTTGACTCAGCCTTCCATCCTTCCGAGGTGGGTAAAATGAGGACCCAGATTGTTGGGGGCAATAGGCTGACTCTGTAAACCACTTAGAGAGGGCTGTAAAGTACTGTGGAACGGTATGTAAGTCTAAGTGCTATTGCTATTTCTGGGACTTGAAGCTGCACTCCTCATACTGCCATCTAAATCCTACCAGTCTTGGATTTGGCTGGTGATCAGCCTTCACCTTGAGATTCTTCTCATCTCTGAATTCTGTCCCAGTGGTGGGATTCAAATAATTTAACAACCGGTTCTCTCCCCTAATGACCGGCTGGGTGGGAGTGGCCATGGTGGGCATGGCCAGGCCTCCTGCACCCCCCTGGGAGCAAAAATGGGCTGCGGGGGGACGCACCACCCCCCCGCCTCCCATTTTGGGCCTAGGAGGCCTCCCTGAAGCCTCCTGGGTGCGAAAACGGGCCGTAGGGGGTGCACCATACTCCCGCGCCCTGTTTTGGGCCTAATAGGCCTCCTTGCACTTACCTGGGAGCAGAAATGGAATGCGTGGGGACTCCTGGAAGGGGCGGGGAGGAGAGGAGCCAGCCAGCAATTTAACTACCGGTTTGCCCGAACCAGCTGAATCCCACTACTGCTCTGTCCCCTTTCCAAGTCCTGTGGCCGTGATTTCCAAAGAAGAGCTGGTAGATGTGAAAGTGACTCTGTTGAGGCATTTTGTAACCTCTCTAGCTGTGGTGTCACCACCACAGGAAGTATGGATGTCTCAACTGAAAGAAGAAGCCGTTGCTAGAAAGAGTGATCCTCTCCCTGAACCTGCCAGGCAAGCTGAAGGATGAGAATGAGACACCTAAACACGTTTCTCATATTTGCACTCAGGACACCAGCTGGGGATGGATTTGCATTTCAGTTGGATTATATTGTATGCACCGGGGCTGATGACCTTGCTTCCTATGATAACTCTTTAGTTATCTCTGGTGTTATGGATCTAGGAGAGCCTTCAGAACTGAGACTCTACCCAATGGAAGTTTTAACATGTAGTCCTTGACTTACAACAGTGACTGGTGTTTATTTAGACGGTCATTTAGTGACCGTTCAAAGTTACAACGGCATGGAAAAGAAGTGGCTTATGACTGTTTTTCACAGTTACAACCTTTGCAGCATTCCCCATGCTCATGTGATCAAAATTCAGATGCTTGGCAATTGGTTCATACTTATGACCGTTGCAGCATCCCGAGGTCATGCGATCACCTTTTGTTACCTTCTTATGAGCAAAGTCAATTGGTAAGCCAGATTCACTTAACAACCAGGTTACTAATTTATGAACTGCGGTGAGTCACTTAACATCTGTGGCAAGAAATGTCATAAAATGGGGCAAAACCCGTCAATGTTTCACTTAACAACAGAAGTTTTGGGCTCAGTTGTGGCCCTGAGTCTAGGACTACCTGTATTTCAGTTTCAGCTGGCCAGAAGTCAGCTTCAGACAATTATTCAGCATTGTTGTTGTATCTTATGATTAATGATTGCAACTATAATCTAAGATATATGACATCACTTTGTTGTTTGTACATACACTGAGAGCTTATGCACCAGAGATAAATTCCTTGTGTGTCCAATTACATTTGACCAATAAAAAATTATATTCTATTACATCTCTGTTGTGGTCCTCCAGAAGCCATTGGATCTGGCAGCAGATTTGGACAGTGAGGAGGTTGGGAGGAACATGGGCCAGTCCTGGAATCTGGGGAAGGCTCTGACGAGGGCTCTGTGTGGGAGGCAGAGATGGGGTCAGGGCTGTCTGACAGTTGTCAGCTGCCTTCGGAGTCGGACATCAGTGAGGCAGAAGAACAGCTGGATCCTGTTCCCAGTGTGCGCATGCGCAGAGCTTCCAGGAGAAGGGGACAGCTAAGGAACAAGGGTCAACTCAGGAGTAAAGCCACAGATGGACGGTGAATGGCCCCTCCAGTGGTGGGTTGCTCCCGATTCGCACTGGTTCGCAAGAACCGGTAGTAAAAATTTGTAGTAGTTCAGAGAACCGGTAATAACATTGGCTGGCCACGCCTCCGAACCAGTCCCCGGCCTGGTCACTGCTCGCTTACCCCACCCATCTCATCAGAGGCTTTTTTTTTTTTTTACTTTTAAAAGCATTTTTTTCTATAACCTCTTCGGCCGAAGAGATTGTAGAAAAAACAATGCCTTTAAAAGCCTCTGGCGATCCCAGCTGAGTTGCCTGATCGTCAGAGGCTTTTCAAAGCACTATTTTCTGCAACCTCTTAAGGTTGTAGAAAAAAATGCTTTTAAAAGTAAAAAAGAAAAAAAAAAAGTTGGCCACACCCACCCAGTCTCATTACCCCCCCCACCAAGCCACACCCACAAAATAAGCCACACCCACAGAACTGGTAGTAAAAAAAATTAGAACCCACCCATGGGCCTCTCCCATAGGGAATAAAGAGCGAAGGGGAGGGGAGTTTGCAGGAGACAATTAGTTCATTTGGGTGAAGATCTGTTCCTGACTTCTTGCCAAGTATTGTCGGTTACAGTGTGGAGTCTGAAAGATATCGGCATGCCCACTCTCGAAGCCTGATAAGGGTCGGTAATTGTGAACTACTTTGAAAGACTGTGGGAGAGGAAAGACTTTGCTGGAGAGGAATTCACTGTAAATTGAATACCTATGAGACCGTCTTTTGCCACCAATAGCCTCCCACCGACCAGTTCGTTCTCACAGGGAGGAACTACTCAGGGTACCGTCAGTCAAATTATGTCGACTGGCGACTCCCAGGGGGAGGGCCTTCTCTGTGAGGGCTCCAACCCTTTGGAATGAACTGCCCCTGGAGATACGGAATATCCCTGATCTCCGTGCTTTCCGCCGTGCCCTCAAAACCCTGATGTTCGAACAGGCGGGGCTAAACATATGAACATGTGAATGATTTTTTAAATGTGATCTAATTCTGGGTTTTATTTAATTGACCAAACTAAGTAATAATTTTAATTAGCAATTTTATGATGTTTGTGTGTCTATATTTTTCTTGACTGTACACCGCCTTGAGTCCTACGGGAGAAAGGCGGTATAGAAATATAATAAATAAATAAATAAATAAATAAAATTAAATAAAAGGGGTTTATCAGGACGAGGACTCAGCTTCGTGCTGCTGAGGAAGCCTAGGTCAGAACAATCTCAAGCCAAATAGCTCATGGTGTCTGTGGAGATTCTCAATCATCCAGGGCATGGTTGTCCCAAAGGTGCTTTTCCAGAAAGCAACTGGCCTTGCTTGGTTTTTTTCCTTGAAAACATTTCATTTCTCATCCAAGAAGTTTCCATTCTGAACCAGAGAAGAAGCTTCTTGGATGAGAAGCGAAACATTAAAAAAAAAAAAAACTTAAAAGTCTAGTTGCCTTTTGGAAAAGCATCTTTGGGACCAATATCTCACAGTGTTTTGACAGAGCTCTAACTGAGATAATTCTCTGTCCTTTTCGGTCGGAGGCAGAGACTGGTTAACACCCCTTGCAGAGAGTGGTTTTAGAAAAAGCAGATACTATGCAGCTTCTGAATGTTGTCGCAAGCTACTATCAGTAGCAGATAAAGAAGAGGCTCTCCCGTTTCTCTGCAAACATTTGCCAGGAGAAACAGGAGGAGGAATGCCCAATCTTTTCAGAGGAGTCAACGGTTCAGAGCCAAGTTGCTTTTTTCCTGTAGCTTCCTGTCTTGTTGATGTGCCTTCCAGACTCTGGGCGGGTTTTCTTCAATAGCTCCATCTGTTCATCTTACCGTTCAGGCCTGAAACAGATTTGAATCTGTATGTCAGCGTCTTGCAACCTCTGACCCTTTTTTCCCCCACCGAGCATGTGAAGCTATAGGTCGGTCTCTCGAGCAAGAGGCGGTGTGGGAATCTTGCACGCCTGGGGCTGGGAGTTAGCCTTCCATCTGCAGGACACCAGTAGAGCCTGCAAGAGTTTTGACTGATCATAAAAAACAAAAACCCTAAGAAATGAGCCTTCTGACACTCAAGGAGCTCCGTGCTTTGGCTGCAAACCGTTTATTTGGAGCTCCTCGGAGGGTCTTCCTTGCCGGCTAGATAATGCGTGGAGGGCTGGATGTGATTTGGTTTTCAATGGGATGCGCCATTGAAATTCACGGGAACTCGGCCCACTTTGTGGCCCCGGCAAGCAGAAAAAGTCACCCGCTCTATTGTGCCATTTTCTATGGGCTGGTTGGAGAGCCTGGCTCGACCTGGGAAAAAAACACTCTTCTCGGTCTTAAGAAACAACCAGAATTTAAATCGAACTTTTTAAATTCTCTTTCTAGGTGGATGAGATCATGCTGACCCTGAAGCAAGCCTTTAGCACGGCAGCTGCCCTGCAGAATGCCAAAACCCAGGTCAAACTGTGCGAGGCCTGCCCGATGCACTCCCTCCACAAGCTGTGCGAAAGGATTGAAGGTAGCCATGGTTTTCAATCTTGCCTAGTCTGAAAGAGACACCGGGGGGGGGGGGGCAGGAGTTTTGGCAAGTCCTGTCCGGCACACTTGCCCCCCAACCCCTCCTCTCCAGCCACTGCTGCTCATTTATGTGACGAGAGTACAAAATGCCTTTGTGGGTACCAGAGAATTAGGCTTAGAATAACTTCATTGTCACTTTGAATGCACACTAATCGGCATACATTAAAATGAAATTTCATTGCATACGGCTCTCCAACGCTCACTACCTCCAATATACGTTACATAAATATGACAAAATAAATACATACATACATACATACATACAAACATACATACATACCGGTACATATATACAAAATTATGCATATGCCCACATATATGACACAGACAAACAACACAGTCTAGTTCGGATGTATACATGTACATGGTGAGAAAAACTAATCTTGCAAGTTAACCGGACAGATGGCATAGGGAACAAAGCTGTTATAGAATCTGGTAATCCTACTAGAAATACTTCAAAACCTCCACCCCTCACAGAGGGGATAACAAACAGACCGTAAAGTGGGTGTTGTGGGGTCTCTAACAATGCCTTGAGCTCAAAGCACATAGTGCTTATAAACAGTATCCTGAATAACAGGAAGTGAGCTTCCTATAATCTTCTCCATTGCCCTTGCCACTCTCTGTATGGACTTTCTATCTGGGGCACTGCTGCCACCAAACCAAACAGTGATGCAGTTTGTTAAAAAGCTCTCAATCGTGCCTCTGTAAAAAGTGGCCGGAACAGAAGGAGAAAGAGGTGGTCTCCTCATCTGATGCAGGAAATGCAGACACTGTGTTGCATAAATGTAGGAAGAATAGAGGTGTTTCTGCTCTCTTAGGAAAAGAAAGTGATGTCTTCCATTCCAGTTGTGTTGGGGTTCAGTATCTGGAAGAACATCCTCACACCGTCACAGCAGTTGAGCAGTTGTGTGCCAGACGATGTGATAGTCTCTCCCGAGAAGCTCTTCTTGCAAGATCAGACCAGGCCTTCCAAGTCCAGTTCATGCTTCGGTCTGGGCTTCACCTGACCCTGCTAACCAGCTGTGTTAAAACAGTGGGACAAACGTACTGTACATTTTCATGAACTGCTGTTATAACTTTCATTCAAAGTTGACAAGGAACAAATCAGGGAGTCAGGACCTAGCTTTCTTTGAAAGACCTCTCTACTCTTTCGACATGTTAGTGAAGGACTTGGTTATTGGTTTTTTTTTTTTCTTACTAGGAGGTCCCCAAAGATCTGCTCTTTTTTCCACTTCTGACATACTTTCTATATGGACCAGAACCATGAAGTTTTCCAAATACGTCCACATCATCCATTTAAAGCAAAGGCTTTAACAGATTTAACAGACTACACATAGTTGGAAGGGACCTTGCAGGTCATCTAGTCCAACCCCTCCGCCCAAGCAGGAGACCCTAGACCATTCCTGATAGAGGGCAGTCCAGTCTCTACTTGAAAGCCTCCAGTGATGAAGCTCCCACAACTTCCAAATCCAACTTCTCTTCCATTGGTTGATTGTTCTCACTGTCAGAAAATTCCTCCTTATTTCCAGGTTGAATCTCTCCTTGTTCAGTTTCCATCCATTATTCCTTCTCTGGCCTTCAGGTGCATTGGAAAATAGCTTGACCCCCTCCTCTCTGTGGCAGCTCCTCAAATATTGGAACGCAGCTATCATGTCTCCCCTGGACCTTCTCTTCACTAGACTAGCCATGCCCAGTTCCTGCAACCGTTCATCATATGTTTAATGTTCATTGTCATGTTTAATTATCCTATACATCCTTCTGAGGCCTTGGCTTTGTGTGACGTGTGCAGAGAAAGCTTATCTCTTAGAGTCCACAGAAATTTCCTTGTGTGGTGATTGGTTTCTCTCAGAAAGCGAGTAAAAGCATTTCTTACTAATTAGCTGATGGATGGCTCGCTCGATAGATTTATTTTTGTCATTCTTTGCTAAAAGTGTGAGAATAACTCTTAATTTAACCTGAGAGATGCCTTTTAGTATATGGGCCATCCTCAGCTTACAGCAGTTTAATTTAGTGTCCGTCCGACGGCACTAAAAAAAGTGACTTACAACCATTTTTCACACTTACAAGCATTGCAGCCTCCCCACGGTCGCATGATTTATATTTGGATGCATGACAACTGACTCACATTTATGACAGTTGCAGTATCCCATGTTTGTGTGTGTGACGTGATTGCCTTCTGTGACTTTCTGAGAAGCAAAGTCGACGGGGAAACCCAGATTCACTTAACAACCGTGTTACTTATTTAAAAACTGAGGCGATTCACTTAACAAATGTGGCGACCAAAGTCGTAAAATGGAGCATAACTCACTTAACAAATTTCTCACTTAGCAACATAAATTCGGGGCTCAATTGTGGTCGTAAGTTGAGAACTACCTGTATTTCTCCTGGATGGGTAGCAGGTATCAGTGATAAAACAACATCTAAGGTATTTTGCTGACGAAGCAGAAATGTTTACCTATTTCTGTTTACTTCCTTTATTTCCTATAGTTATCAATGTTTATTTCGGAAAGCACATATTTGGTGATCAGCCCCCTCTGGTGGGCGAAGCCATAAAGCCACCAAGGTTGTGTTAAAATCCAGCACTGAAAGAGAAAAGCTCTTCCAGTTCTTGCTGTAGTGAGTCAGAGGCCAAAGCGGATTATGTTTTGTTCTTTAATAAACTGTGTCTGCAGAAAGGACAGACTAATGGCAAGCTCTCTTGATTTCCAAAAAAAGAAAAGACAGGGTTTCTCAGTTTGAAAAGGGAAAAGAAAAGTTTGAAAAGAGAAAAGAAAAGTTTGAAAAGAGAAAAGAAAAGTTTGAAAAGAGAAAAGAAAAGAAGTTTGAAAAGAGAAAAGTTTGAAAAGAGAAAAGGGTTTCTCAGTTTGAAAAGAGATACTTCACGAGAAGAGTCCTCCACTCCTCTGCTCGCAATAGAATACTTTATGCCACCAGCCTTGAAATCTTGGGATTAGACAATTTAGAACTATGCCACCTTCGGTGTGACCTAAGCGTAGTACACAGAATTATCTGCTACAACATCCTACCTGTCAATGACTACTTCAGCTTCAACCGCAATAATACACGAGCACACAATAGATACAAACTCAAGGTAAACTGCTCCAAACTCGATTGCAGAAAATACGACTTCAGCAACAGAGTGGTCAATGCCTGGAATGCACTACCTGACTCTGTGGTTTCATCCCCAAACCCCCAAAACGTTAATCTTAGACTGTCTACTGTTGACCTCACCCCATTCCTAAGAGGTCTGTAAGGGGCAGGCATAAGTGTACCAGTGTGCCTACCGTCCCTGTCCTAATTTACCTTTTTATTCATATCCATTTCCTGTATTCATAATCATGTTTATACTTAGATCTGTTATCTTATACATATTTGACAAATAAATAAATAAAATATATAAAAATAAGATGTGAAGTTAGGGGTTTATTAGTCTGTAGAGATTCTCAATTATCCAGGTCATGGTTGTCCCAAAGGTGCTTTTTTAGGAGGCAACTGGATTTTCTTATGTTTTTTTCTTCTTCTTTTGAAGATGTTTCGCTTCTCATCCAAGAAGCTTCTTCAGCTCTGACAGGATAGTGGGGAATGGAAGGATTTAAAAAACAAAACAAAACAAGAAAGTCCAGTTGCCTCCTGAAAAAGCACCTTTGGGACAACGATGACTGAGAATCTCTATAGACTTTTAGCTATACAATTTGGGATTAACACCCTTTGAATGGTGTGGGAGAAGGAATGGATTTCTAGAGGAAAAAATTGCAGACTACAGGAACCAGGAGCACCACTCAGGTGACCCTGAGGACATAGATAAACCTCCAAGGGCTTCAACGACCCTCTAAAAGGATGCAAATGACCAGGTGTTTGCAAGGAATATAAATCCTTCCATTCTCCACCATCCAGTCAGAGCTGAAGAAGCTTCTTGGATGAGAAGCGAAATTTCTTCAAAAGAAAAAAAAAACATGAAGAAAGTCCAGTTGCCTCCTGAAAAAGCACCTTGGGACTAGGGCTTCATTCTTTTTTAAAAAAATAAAGCTAAAATTGCAGCCTCTGAGCAAGAGAATGCCAAAATATCTAAGAAAGCTTTCACATGCTTCTGAAAACTTGTTTCGGTTGCTGGCACTAAATGATATTTTAAAGTATTGTGTCATTTCGCATAACATCTACTTGGACAAAGGCTCCTCTGTCAAAGAGTGATAGCGATGACAGGTGTGTTCACCTGTATGCAAACATTGCAAAGAACGTCGTCTTCTGAACCAAGGACTGATATAAGAATATCTGTCAGGTTTCCAAGTAACACTCCCAAAGAAAGAAAACTCCGAGGCTTGAGTTTTCTCAAAGTTACATTTTATTAGAGATGTCATATTGGCGCATCTGGGAAAACCCGAATCTGAAAGCTTCCAGGGTTTCCCAACACAAAGGAAAAAATTGAAGTCCCTGCCCAGCACCCACATGTCCATCCCATGGTCCAATCAAACATCGTCCCAACTGGAGATATCTCCGAGTTCCAGCCTTCCAAGTGCAGGGCAAGATGTCCTTGACTCTCTGAGAAAGGAATGTTATTATGACTATATATCACCCTTGCTCCATATAATCCCCCCTCCCAGTTTCCCACAGTAGTAAATGTGGCGGGTCTGAATGCCCAATGCAAAAGCCTGACAATATCTGCTTCTGGGTGGGGTTCTGAGCATAGAAATACTCTGATGAACCCCAGGTCTTCTCTCCCAGATTTTTGAAGTACGCTCCAAATAATTATTTCTGTATAAGCCAAACTCAAGAGTGCATCTTGGCCAAGGTGAGGCCTGTAAAACAAGCAAGTTTAGCTTGTGGATTCTGGCTCTTTGGGGCTCCAGATATATTCTTAGATGGAAATAGCTTGATTAAAAAAACCTATTTTATTCTCCTCTGTTGTCTGATTGGACTTATAAAAATGAGGACTTTAAAGATAAAACAAGGAATGTAGGAGGGGTGGGAGCAAGGGTGGGCTGCTGAGGGTTCACAGGGGTTCAGAGTGTATTCTATGCAGTTCAGAGCACCCCCAAATCCCACTCCTGGCTGGCCCCGCCCACTCCACCCCGCCCCTCCCAGGAGTCCCCATGCGGCCCGTTTTGGATGCAGGTAAGTGCAGGGCACGCACAGAGGCTTGGGGAGGGCGAAAAATGGGCCTACCAGGAGTTCGGGAGGGCCTCCAGAAGAGGGGAGGCCATTTTTGCCCTCCTGGAGGCTCAAGGAAAGCCTCCGGAGCCTGGGGAGGGCAAAAACACCCCCCACCATGGTGTACGAGACTAACTAGGCCATGCCCACCATGGACACACCCACCCAGCAACCGGGCAGAGAACCCCTTGCTAAAATTTTTGAAGCCTACCCCTGGGTGAGAGGCCTTCTTAAAACCTGTTCCAGGACCTGATCAGTCGATCAGGCTCCTCTGGATGGTTTTCTGCTAGCAGAGGCCCTTCACTTCCAGAGTTGATGATCAACACTGCAGACATATCTCTGCATGTTGTTCCCACCCCACCTTCTCCCCAGTCTCTTCTTCGGGAGTGAAGGTGCCATGCTGCTTAGGGCAATGTCCACTGTCTCTGAGATTCTCAGAGCCACACCCACTGCCTTGGTAAATTGCTTTTGTTGGTAGCCAAATCATCCTAGCGAGGAAGGGGTTGGGTTGAGCTCCCACCAAGCCACCGAGGAAGGAGGAAGCAGACCTCTGGCCAGAGGCCTTGAATTATGTTGTGGCCTGTCGGTAGTCGGCCCCTCCAGCAGCCGAATCAGATGAGGAGGTGGCGTGGGAGTCAGGGCCAGCATCAAGGCAACCTGAAAGGTCCGAGAGGAAAGAGGGAATGGAGCTGGCAGAGATAGAGATAAGAGGCGGAGCGTGGGCCGTCTATCAGCCCTCAGATGGAGAGTCAACAGCCCCCAGGTCTAGAAGTGGCTGATGAGGAAGAAGAGGAAAAATGGGCCCAGTGCCTGACACGCGGGTGCGCAGAAGGCAGAGGAGAGGAGAACAGTGGAAATCTATGGGCCGATCCTTGGGACGGAAGAGCCACTGCTACTAGCGAAGCCCCACTCTAGCTCTGAGGATAAAAGGCAGGGGGCGGAGATGAATAGGTGTAGCAGACAACTATTTATCTCCCTGCCGGACAGACTGGTTAACCTTGAGAGAGAGACTTTTTGCCGGGGCTGCTGGCGCTCCTAATAAAGGGAACATTTGTTTAACTACACAGGGTTTGTTGTATTTGGGAGCTGAGTCAGAACAAATGGCCAAGTGGCGAGACGAAGGTCTCCTGGCTCAAAAGGATGGTGGGCATCTGGGAGGCAAGGGCATTGGTGGGCAGGGCAAGGCGTTGGAGGTTTGGTAGAAGTTGTGTGAATTTCAACGGTCGCACTTTAGCTGAATCTTGTCTTTCTGACTGCAGAGAAAAGCCCATGAGGGCTTTACAATGAGTAAAACCTCTCTGATGCCCAATGACCTCTCTTCTTTCCCTCTGAAGGACTTTATCCACCAAGAGCCAAGCTTGTAATTCAGAGGCACCTGTCCTCTCTCAGCGACAATGAGCAGGCGGACATCTTTGAGCGCGTTCAGGTAATAAGCACCCCACTCAGATACAGCACTAGGGATGATCTATGCCTCTCTGTGGGCTCCAAAGCAGTGGTGAAATCCGAACCGGATTGCTACCGGTTCCTGGCCGCACATGCGCACCAAATGTGCACTCTGTACACGCACACGCATGTGCAGTACACACCAAAAGGAGGCTTGGGAAGGTAAGTAGAAGTGAGGGGAGGATCAGCTGTGGTGTGCAATTTCGCTTCGCTAGAAAGCAGGAAATCCTGCTTTCTGGCAAAGGTAAACGGCGCTGCACAGCTGATCCCCCATCCACCCCGCTGTTCTACTTACCTTCCCAAGCCTCCTTTTGGCGCATACGCAGTACACACCAAAAGGAGGCTTGGGAAGGTAAGTAGAACAGTGGTGGGGAGGAGGATCAGCTGTGCAGCACAGTTTCTGCTTTCTAGCAAAGCTAAACCCCCCTGCACAGCTGATCGTCAGAAATACCGGTTCAGAGGAACTGGTAATTTTTTTTAACTACTGATTCGCCTGAAACAGTAGCTTTTTAAACAGCCAGTTTTTATCACTACCAGTTCACCCCTGCTCCAAAGCTTTTGAGAACCAGAAATGCGTTTCAGGAGTTAGCAAATTCTTTTCTGAAACCCTGATGTCATCTGGCTGCCAATCGGAGCAGGGCTGGTTATCACAAATATTTGCTTCTTCTTTCCTCCCGTGGCAGAAAATGAAGCCGGTTAGTGACCAGGAAGAAAACGAGCTCCTGATTTTCCACCTGCGCCAGTTGTGCGAGGCAAAGCAAAAGACCCACATTCACATTGACGAGACCCCAATGGTGAGCTTTCCGTCTTCTCTGGCTTCTCAGGAGCTCCAAAAGAGGCCCGGGAACTCCTTCAGCTATTCCATTCTCCTGACGGTTCCCTTCTTGCTTCTTATGAGACTCATCTGGAAACAGATGACGCAGGAAGGAATCCCGATGGAATAACACTTAGACTTAAATGCCGGTTTACAGTGCTTTCCAGCCCTCTCTAAGCAGTTTACAGAGTCAGCCTATTGCCCCCAACAATCTGGGTCCTCATTTTACCCACCTCAGAAGGATGGAAGGCTGAGTCAACCTTGAGCCGGTGAGACCCGAACTGCCAAATTGCGAGCAGTCAGCAGAAGTAGGCTGCAGTACTGCACTCTAACCACTGTACCACCATGTCTCATTTCGGTGGGGAAAGACTAGCATTGTCCTTCTAGGTTAATTTTTGCTGTTAGGATCCGTAAGAGAGGGAGGAGGACTAATTTCCTTGAGCCTAGAGACCATTCCTCTGTCCCAGCCAAATTTGATTTAAATCAAGTACAGGGAGTTCCCAACTTACGAACGTTCGCTTAGCAACCAGAGTTACACTGCTGTGGAACGATTTACAACAATTTCATTTAGCCACCCTCCAAAGTTACAACCGCACTGGAAAAAGTGACTTATGACCGTTTTTTCACACTTACAACCATTGCAGCATCCCTGGGATCACGTGATCCAAATTTGGACGATTGGCAACTGACTCATATTTATGACGGTTGCAGTGTCCCGGGGTCACATAATCCCTTTTTGCAACCTTCTGTCGGGTAATTTCAATGGGGAAGCCAGATTCACTTGGCAACCGTGTTAATAATTCAACAGCTGTGGCAGTTTGCTTAACGACTGTAGCAAGAAAAGTCGTAAAAACGGAGCCAACCTCACTTCACAACTGCCTCACTCAGCAAGAGAAATTTTGGGCTCAACTGTGGTCGTACGTTAAGGATTACCTGTAAAGTCAGATCCTTGCAGTTATACTACCCCATAGGGACCACAATTCACAATCAGGTGACAACAATTCAGGCACTTGGCAAGCAACTCGCAGTTATGACCACTTGTACAGTCCCGTGATAGCCATTTGTGATTTCTTTTGCCGGTTTCGGGCCAAACCCCCCCCCCCATTGGAAGAAATGGTTCACACTTAGCGACGGTTGTAAAAAAAAACGGTCATGAATTAGGGACTGATTTGACGGCAAGGACTTAACGATGAGAATTCCAGTCCAAATTTTGGTCTTAAGTCGACGACTAAATAAATAAAAGCCAGTTCTGCATTTGTGTCAGCCTAATCTTGCATCTAAACCAGAGATGGGTTTCAGCAGCTTCTGACCAGTTCTGGAGAACAGGTAGCAGAAATTTTGAGTAGTTCAGCGAACCGGTAGTAAACATTCTGACTAGCCCTGCCCCCATCTATTCTCTGCCTTCCAAGTCCCAGCTGATCAGGAAGAAATGGGGATTTTGCAGTAACCTTCCCTTGGAGTGGGGAGGGAATGGAGATTTTACAATATCCTTCTCCTGGAGTGGGGTGGGAATGGAGATTTTATAGTATCCTTCCCCTGACACGCCCACCACACCACGCCCACCAAGCCACGCCCACAGAACCGGTAGTAAAAAAATTTCAAACCCACCACTGATCTAAACGGGTGACTCAGCAAAAAAAACAAAACAAACAAAAAATCTCGAGTCTTTCATTTGAAATGGAGGGGAGAAAATGGCTGGACAAAACAGCCCGTTATCTCTTTCTGAAACCCCAACCCTGACAACTTCCTGTGTTTATTATTTTTCTCTTTGGAATCAGTTTGGCAGTTGTATATTTTGGACTGCCTCCTCGGTTGCCTGTATTGATATGATGGTTTATCTTCACCATACAGAACGCGTCTAATAATACAATCCCAGAAAACACCACCAGCAGTGGAAGATTCACCCTGGATATCCTGAAGAACAAAGCCAAGAAATCCTTAACCAGCTCTCTCGAAAACATCTTCTCCAGGGTGAGATAAATTGCTCAGAGGGAGTAAAACGGCGGATAAAGTCATTTTTGAACCGTTTTCTCTTGTCGAATTAGTTTCTCTGCGGGTGGTGAGGAAGCAGACAGACGTATCAAATGTTTCGCTGTCCCTTTCTCCTATAAATTGTGAATTGCTCTGTTCCCTTTGAAACTACTACTTTCAAACTGCTCAGTTCTCTTTGAAATCACTACTTCGGAATTTAGCTCTACTTCAGTTAATTCAGAATTTAGCTTTTTTTTTTTTTTTAATTTGATTTAGATGCCGCCCTTCTCCGGAGACTCAGGGCAGCTTACAATGTGCTCAGCAATAGCCTTCATCCTTTTGTATATTTATACAAAGTCAGCTTATTGCTCCCACAACTGGGTCCTCAATTTACCTACCTTAGAAAGGATGGAAGGCTGAGTCAATCTTGAGCCTGGCGAGATTTGAACCTGCAGTAATTGCAGGCAGCTGATCTTAATAACAGGGTGCTTTAGACCACTGTACTACCAAGGCTTTAAAGAACAGTTTGCGGGAATTGGGTATGGCTAGTCTAGTGAAAAGAAGGACTAGGGGTGACATGATAGCAGTCTTCCAATATCTCAGGGGCTGCCACAAAGAAAAGGGAGTCAAACTATTCCCCAATGCATCTGAAGACAGGACAAGAAACAATGGATGGAAACTAAACAAGGAGTTAGTTATTAGAACAGCTGAGAATTACTTCATTCTCGGCTTAGTCCAAATTAAATCCAAAACAAATTCTTCATAAACAGTCCTTGGGCCTTATCACCAGCCTTTGTCTACTTTGGCACCCTGCCAAAGGCTTTTCTTGGCAAAAGTTCAGAAGCAAGAGACGCTGACAAGAAGCAAATGTAGCAACCTTGCTTTCCTACAAAGATCCCAAGAGCTGTTTCTGCTCTTTTAAGCCTTCTGGGAGAGGTCAATCATCTCCTGGCCTTACTCCCAAGTCGTCCTTTTTGCTTTAGCTGCTCTTGCTTTCTGGCAGCTCTTCACATGCGTGCACTAGGAACAGGTTCCTCCTGTTCCTCTGCCTCCCTGCTCTCCGCCTCTGGAGGCTCCGGAGTCCACACATCGTTCCCAGATGGCCCTGGCCCCATGTCTGCCTCCGACGCAGAACCCTCGTCTGGGCCTTCCCCAGGATTGGCCCATTTTCCTACCCAGCCTCCTCACTGTTCGACTCCGCTGCCAGCTCGGCAGGCTGCTGGCGGACCACAACAGTTTCCCGCTTTCAAACCTGGTGCTTTAAACCACTGGACCAAACTGGGCCTCGGCCTTCCTGCCAGCCCAGGAACTGGAGAGGCCAGAAATGGGTGCCACCGAGTGGGTCTCTTGTGTTTTGCAGGGAGCCAGTCGCATGCGTGGTCGCCTGGGGAGCACGGAGAGCTTTGAAAGGTACAACCACCTCACTCCTGACAAAGTAAGTACCAAATGGATGGAGGCACCTAGGTTAGAACCCGTTGCAGAAGAACCAAAGGCATTGTTTACCTTGGTTTTATCACAGGTAGTCCTCAACTTACAATTTCTCCCTTAGTGGCCTTTTTGAAGTTACAACGTCGATGAAGAAAGTGGCTCATGATCATTCTTCACAGTTACGACCGTCGTAAGCCTCCCCCTGGTCACGTGATCAAAATCTGGACACTTATGATGGAGGAGGTAGTGTCCTGGGATCACGTGGTCCCTTTTTGTGACCTCCTGACCAGCAGAGTCAATGGGGTAGCCAGGTTAACTTAGCAATAGCAATAGCACTTATATACCGCTTCATAGTGCTTTACAGCCCTCTCTAAGCGGTTTACAGAATCTATTGCCCCCAACAATCTGGGTCCTCATTTTATGGATGGATGGAAGGCTGAGTCCACCATGAGCCTGGTGAGATTCGAACTGCTGAACTGAAGCTAGCAGTCAGCTGAAGTAGCCTGCAGTACTGCACTCTAACCACTGTGCCACCTCGGCTCATAACCACGTTACTAACTTAACAACGGCAGCAATTCACTTAACAACTGTAGCAAGAAAGCTCATACAATGGGGCGAAACTCGCTTAATGACCATCTTGCTTAGCAAGAGAAATAGTGAGTTCGGTTGACGTAAACCGAGGACTACCTGTATAGGACTGGAAGCAAATATGTTTACGGGTGTTTCACTGACTCGACCAAATCTATATTTGGTATTATACAGGGCAATACTGGAATGGACAAATGCTATTTAATTCTCCTTCTTTGCAACCTAACCAATAAATGCTTAGTTAATGAGTTTACTTAGCAACAGAAATGTTGGGCTCATTTGTGGTCGTAAGTCGAGGACTACCTGTGTTTATTTTTTAAAAAACATTTTTTTAATTTAATTTTTTTTAAAATTAAACATTTTTAAACATTTTAAATATTTTTAAAAAAAATTGAAGAGAATATGTGGGAGGAAAGTAAATTGTAAAAACTCCGGGCTTCCTCTGTAGAAAGCAGAAAAAGTTTTCTCCTGTCAGCACCAGCATGTGGGGGTGGGGGGGCATCTGAGGGGATGATCTTCTTGTGCTAAGCAGGGTGTAAATGGTACCCTTTCCGCTTATTTCCTGTACAAATGCTTTCTCCGCTACTCCTACAATAGGGATTTCCCTCCCTCTCCTTCCCCAGGATATAAATTCAGGGCTGTTTGTGTGTAGTTTTTAATTATCCTTGCCGGGAGGGTTATCCGAAGTGGAGCTCCACCAGATGCAGCTTAGACAAGGCAGGGAAATCCTGTCAGCTCCAGATCCAGGAACCGGGCCAAGGGGCCAGCTTTGGTGAGGAGGTGGGCTTCTGGCTTGCTTCCTCTTCTTCTTCCTCCCTCCCCAGATGGTCCTCTAGTAACGTTTGGACACCCTGGGCTATGTTGAATGTGGACAGCGTTCTCCTTCTGAGGACAAAGTGGTTTGCGTGTTTTCTTCTTAAGCTTCAAGAAACGTCTGGCTTTGTGTGAGGGAGAGCCACCTCGTAGAAGGTGTGGGTCGGCAGGAAAGGCGGATAGAAGATGCGGGCCGCCAGGAAAGGCGCGTAGAAGGTGTGGGCCGCCAAGAAAGTCCCTCATTCTCGTCTGTGGCTTCTAGGACTTCTCCTCGGGGGACTCCCCACCCTCCACACCTCCGGCGTCTCCCGTTGCCTTGGCCGGACACCCGTTTCCTGAAGAAGACTCCGACTCTCCACAGTTCAGGAGACGCGCCCATACTTTTAGCCACCCGCCCTCTGCCTCCAGGAAGAGGATCACTTTCCAGAATGGACGGTCTCAAAGCGTCCGGTCGCCCCTCCTGAGGCAAAATTCGGCCGAACAGAGCAGGTGAGTTGGGCTGGGAGAGCCAAGGGACTTTCTTTAAAGGAGATGCTGACTGGATGCCCACCTAGAAGGTCTCCTGTGGTCCTTAGCTCAGGAAGGTCATGGCTGCCTTCAGACATGCAGATGGCCTGAAGTTGGGATGAGATGGTTGCAACGTATTTTAAGTAGACAGGTATAATAATAATAATAATAATAATAATAATAATAATAATAATAATAATAATAATAATAATAATAATAATAATAATAATAATAATAATATCATCATCATCATCTGTTGCCCAACTCCCAGCAGGTCTCTTGAGATGGATACATGTTAATCTCCTTATAAAAATGACACTTGAAGGTATAGAATGGTAATAACAGAGTTGAACAACAGAGTTGAAAGGACTGTGAAGGTCTTCTAGTGCAAAATTGGTCAAAATTAATCTTCTAGGTTCAAAATTGGTCATTGACCCTGTGCACAGAGACAGGTCTGACTAGTTTAAAATGAAGGGACACAGTCATTTCCAAGATTCTATATATTTAAATCTCAGCCATGAAAAACTTTAGAGAAGACAAGAGAAGATTTTCTAAAGATGCTTGTTTTTCTTGAAATTGTATAGCTTCATCCAAACTTGAATTAGATTCTGTTTTATTTATGATGCAGGAGTCTTTTTTTCCCCCTAATTCCTTCAAAGCTGTTTCAGTATGAAAAGGGGGAAGAAGTGTCTACAATCCCCTGGTGCTATTTTAAGAAAAAATAATTTGAAGCACAAATCCATCCTAAGGAAAAGAAAATTTGGAGCCAAAACTGGATCAGTCCAGTGGTTGAAAATTATGATTAGCATGTTCTAACTGTAGCGTGGCCAGTGTTCAGAAGATGAAAGTCCACAAAGAAAAGAAAGAGGAGAAAAGAGAGTTCATGTGAAGTCCAATTGTCCTCCCGCTAATCAGTCTCAAATGGGCAGGATTGAAACATTATTCCCAGAATTTCAGACCGGTCTGTGAATGAATGGGAAGCCAGCAAGGGCTGAATCATTTTTTTTTTGGGGGTGGGTGGGTGGGTGGGGAGGGAAGGGCCTTTTGTCAGACTGCAGAGAAAACTTTTGAACCCCTTCAAACGCTGCTCCATATGAGGAAATATGACAGGAGTTTAATCCCTGCCTTGTTGACACACCTTCTGGCTAACACAAGACCAAGAGGGGTTGACTCTGTGCATGCAAAGACTCTTGTGATATTGTGCTCTTAGAATAACAAAGTTGGAAGGGACCTTGGAGGTCTTCTAGTCCAACCCCCTGCTTAGGCAGAAAATCCTACACCACTTCAGAGAAATGGTTACCCAACATTTTCTTAAAAACTTCCAGTGTTGGAGCATTCACAACTTCTGGAGGCAAGTTATTCCACTGATTAATTGTTCTAACTGTCAGGAGATTTCTCCTTAGTTCTAAGCTGCTTCTCTCCTTGATTAGTTTCCACCCATTGCTTCTTGTCCTGCCCTCAGGTGCTTTGGAGAATAGCTTGACTCCTTCTTCTTTGTGGCAACCCCTGAGATATTGGCACATTGCTATCATGTCTCCCCTAGTCCTTCTTTTCATTAAACTAGACATGCCCAGTTCCTGCACCACCACCATAAGGACAAGAAACAATGGGTGGAAACTAATCAAGGAGAAAAGCAACTTAGAACTAACTAAGGAGAAATTTCCTGACAGTGAGAACAATTAATCAGTGGAACAACTTGCCTCCAGAAGTTGTGAATGCTCCAACACTGGAAGTTTTTAAGAAGTGATTGGACAACACATTTTTCTGAAATGATATAGGGTTTCCTGCCTGGACTTGAAGACCTCCAAGATCCCTTTCAATTCTGTTATTCTAAATTCTAAGTTCTAAGATCTGCCTGGAACTGTTGTTTCTGAAACTGGTTTGCTGTGTACATGAATGGAGATAAACAGCTCGTGGGAATGGGTGATGGAACATCCCTAGTGTGGGCCTCACCCTCTCCTTTATTTTTAGCCATTTTCTGGGCATTACTGCACCAGCAGCTTCGTCCTCTGCGAAAGTGACTGTCATGGAAAAGGGCATCATGGATATTAAGCCATTCTGAAAGTGCAGCCGCTGGGTTCAGTCAATCCACTCCTACTATGGGATTCTCTTTTGTCTTCAAAGTGAAGCAGCTTTCTTGGGGTTCCTTCTCTGATAGCCTTCTTGCTCCAACGTTCTTGTTTTTTTCTTTTGAAGACATTTCACTTCTCATCCAAGAAGCTTTTTCAGCTCTGGATGGTGGGGAATGGAAGGATTTATATTCCTTGCAGACAGCTGGTCATTTGAATTCTTTTAGCAGGTCGTTGAAGCCCTTGGAGGTTTATCTGTGTCCTCGGAGGTCACCTGAGTGGTGCTCCTGGTTCCTGTAGTCTGCAATTTCTTTCTCTGGAAATCCATTCCTACTCCCACACCATTCAAAAGATGCTCATCCCAAATTGTGTAGGTAAAAGTCCGTAGAGATTCTCAGTCATCCAGGTTATGATTGTCCCAAAGGTGCTTTTTCATGAGGCAACTGGACTCTCTTGGTGTTTTTTTTTTTCTTTTGAAGACATTTCGCTTCTCATCCAAGAAGCTTCTTCAGCTCTGACAGGATAGTGGGGAATGGAAGGATTTATATTCATTGCAGACAGCTGGTCACTTGCATCCTTTTAGAAGCACTTGGAGGTTTATCTGTGTCCTCAAGGTCACCTGAGTAGTGCTCCTGGTTCCTGCAGTCTGCAATTTTTTCCTCTGGAAATCCATTCCTACTCCCACATCATTCAAAGGGTGTTCATCCCAAATTGTATAGCTAAAGGTCTGTAGTGATTCTCAGTCATCCAGGTCATGGCTGTGCCAAAGGTGCTTTTTCAGGAGGCAACTGCACTTTCTTGTTTTTTTCTTTTGAAAACATTTCACTTCTCATCCAAAAAGCTATCCTGTCAGAGCTAAAGATGCTTCTTAGATGAGAAGCAAAACATCTTCAAAAGAAAAAAAAAAATCAGAAAGTCCAGATTCCTCCTGAAAAAGCACCTTTGGGACAACCATGACCTGGATGACTGAGAATCTCTAGAGATTCTTGCCCCGACATCTCTCCAAACATCATCGCATCTACTTCTGATGAACTTTTAGGCGAGCTGCAGATTTCACTTCTTCTCAACGCTGGTTCCAGAACAGTTGAGAAATTGGTTTATTTGAAATGCGATTGCTTTGTCAGTGTCCTGCCTCTCTGCTTTGTTTATATTTTCTCAAGCTCAGGCTGCAGTCTTGCAGTGCATCAGGAAGCCTGAGCAAGAATAAGGGCTAGCCCAACAGCCCAGCATTTCTTTCTTTTGTCTTTGTCACGGCAAAGCTCGGCTCTCGCTGGCTCAGCCAGTTTCCTAATTAGAGCAGCAATTCCCGTGCCAGATGTTGCTTTTTTCCACGAGCTGTTTTTCTGGCACCGAAAACAGTTCCTTCCAAGAATTGCTTAGCAGCTGGGGGCTAAGAAAATGCCTCCCTCCCCACAACATTCTCCATTTTAAAAAGTGGAAATAAATCTTATTGCCCCATCCCCAGAAAAAAAAGCCTAACAAATGTATTTTGCAGCAAAAGAAAAAAATTAAATCTGCCGTGAAATATTTATTGTGTGGAATTGTGTAAATATGCCTAGAATTAAATGACCTCGTCGTCCTGCAGAAAGGGACTGAATGTTGTGTGTTCTCTCTCAACAAGACTAGCGCCCTGCACGCTGCAAACAAAACATCACACCACAAAACCCCCCAACCAAACATTGTTGGCTTGATATGAGGCAGGCTCTGCACAATATCTGGAAATATAAGGGTGTGTATGTGCATACATAAATCCCCGTGAAATATGCTGTCTGGCAGGTAGTGACTCTGCTAAGTAATTTACAGGCAACCCTAGGCCCACAATCACAACTGAACGCCAAATTTCCATTACTAAATAAGACAGTGGTTAAATGAATTTTCCTCCATTTTTCGGGCTCTCCTGCCGCTGTTATTAAGTGAATTACTGCATTTGTTAAGTTAGTAACATGGTTGTTAAGAGAATCTGGCTTTTCTGGATTCTGACTGCCTGTCAGAAGTTTCCAAATGGTGATCCCATGATCCCAAGGACCCTGCAACTGTCACAAGTACATGCCAATTGCCAAGGGTCTGAATTTTGATCATGTGACTACAGGGATACTGCAACGGCTGTAAGTGTGAAACGCATCCATAAGTCACGTTTTCAGTGCTGCTGTAACTTTGAATGGTGATTAACTAAATAGTGGTAAGTTGAAGAATGCCTGTAATGACCAAGGGACTATAGATCATATGGATCTGAGGGATGGGCAACCATTTACGGGTCCTCCATACACTGTGAGACAACCTCCCATAAAGAGGGCTCAAGGGTTCAACCAGCATTTTTGGCAATAACTTCACCTTCCTGGTGGCATTTATTTGATCACCCACTCTGCCGAGGAGAAGTTGAAGATCTGCGAAAGAAGCCATCCACCGACTCTTAATTCTACTTCAGGACCACACAGCTAAACGTGGAATCAACCCTCTGGCTGTGTTCTGGTGTGGTGCCCGCCCTCTTCAATTTAGCAAATTCTCATATCCCCGATTCAGCTCATTTGCATGGAATGGGACAACTCATCATAACTTGCATGGCCAACTCGCCGCAAGACAATTCAACAAATACAACTATGCACTGATGATTGGGTACCCTAGTTTGGGTAATGAAACATCTGCAAGAAATAGGGAAGCACACAGAGCATCAAGGACTCCACAATCCACCCCTTTCCTCCTCCTCCTCCTCTCTGCAAACCCCACTCCTTCTAGCACTGAAGATATTACCTAGTTTGGGTAATGAAACATCTGCAAGAAAACAACCAAGCTCAGAGAGCACCAATGATCCTACAGTCCCCTCTCCTCCTCCTCCTCCTCCTCCTCCTCCTCCTCTTTACAAATACCACTCCTTCTTGCACTGAAGATATTGCCTCGTTTGAGTAATGAAACATCTACAAGAAAACAGGCAAGCTCAGAGAGCGCCAAGGACCCCTCACTTCAACCCTGAGCTACAAATATTCTCCTTTATAAATACAAAAATTAAATTAATTTCAATAGAACCGTGGCTAATAATAATAATAGAATAAAGTCCACCCAGAAATACAAGCCTCAATGATTTCAACGAAAATGTGGTCACCAATAATAAAAGTAAGTGCAAGAAACGAATTGTCCTGCAGTGTCGAATTGTCCTGCAGCGAGTTGGCCCGTGGCGAGTGGTCCCATGGCAAGAGGGCCACGGTGTGTTGACTGCAGCGAGTTGGCTGTGGAGAGTTGTCCTAGACCTCATTCGCAAATCTGTTTCGTTGACAACACCCAGTTGCAACTCTGGTTAACTCTGGCCTTTTGTGCAGTGGACATAGATGAGAAGTTGGGCCTCTCTTAAAGGCTGGACTAGAACTTACTGCTCTCCTTTTTCTTATTGCCTGCTGCCAGGCTGGCAGTTGCCCGACGTACCCGCAGCGAGAGTGAGTCTTCGGTGCCGCCCAGTCTCCCATCTTCTTTCTCTGCCCCTTCTTTCCTGAAAAGCTTGTACCAGAGCTCTGGGAAACCGGCTTCTCCGCCTGAAGGTGATCCCCCCAGGAGGTGAGAACGCTGTTCCTGCCCGCCTGCCCTGCCGCATTTCCACCCGTCTGGCTTGCCAGAGCCTCACTGGCTGCTTAGGACGCATCTCATGAGCATCCCTGCCTGGTGCACATCTTCAGAGCTGCAGGCAGAGGCTGGGCTTCACGTGGCCCCGCTCATCAACGCTGATGCCACTTTGGTACACATCAACATTGCCGACACACAGGGTGAGACATCGGGGCTCCTTCCTAGTGTCCATGGTTACCCAGATTTTAAAGCCACCCTGTAAGTCTTTGTGGCTTTCCCATAAGTCTCCCTTTGTTTACTCTCTTGTCCTGGATGAGTGTGAGAGGATTTTTCAATCCTTTTGGGGTTTGGGGTCAGGACAGACAATTTGGCAGGATTCCTAATAGTCTTTCTACAACTAATTTAAGCACATGTTGCTTAATATCAATAGTACTTAGACTTACCGTGTTTTCCTGAAAATAAGACCCTGTCTTATATTTTTTTCAAACCCCAAAATAAGCCCTTGGACTTATTTTCGGGGAGGACTTACTATTTTGGGACGCATGGAGCAAGATGGGGCTCCTCGTGCCATCTTACCTGATTTCCAGCTCTGTCTCCCTAACCCTAACCAGAGGAAATGGCGGGGACTGGCTGCGTATGCATTTAAATATTTTCGGGGACGGCTTATTTTTTTGGGGGGGGGGCTTATTTTAGTGCATGCGCTCAAAAGCCCAATATTATCAGCCAATGTCTTATTTTTGGGAAAACAGGGTATATACCGCTCCGCAGTGCTTTACAGCCCTCTGTAAGCGGTTTACAGAGTCCGACTATTGCCCCCAACAATCTGGGTCCTCATTTTACCAACCTCGGAAAGATAGAAGGCTGAGTCAACCTCAAAAGTGAAGATAAACTTTCCAGAATTTGTAAAATTGCCTGACCTTCAAAAAAAGGTATTTGATTTTTTAAAAAACAAACAAACAACCCAAATAATTTAAGTTTACATTATTGCTGGTTAATGAAAAAAGATTTTACCGTTCAGGGTTTTCTTGGGGTACGGAAAGCATTGGCAATGTTGATCATTTTAGTGGTCACTCTACTAAGCGAGCATTTCGGTATTTTTTGCTGTGTGGCAAAGTGTGATGAATCTTGGCATGGTTTTTTTTTTTTTTTTTTTTAACACTGCAAATAGCACAATTTCAGCCATCTGCAGCCACCTGGTAGGTGTGCGCTCTGGGCCGAGTGTCTCATTTTCACAGTGCACTTTTGAACCAGCCAGCTTAGCTTCATGCAGAACACAGTGGGACATTTCAGGCATGTTTTGATTGGGGAATAATGTTGGATGCTTCCGTCTTTTTTTAAAAGCGTGGCTTGACTGTCTTGCTTATGAACCCAGCTATTAAGTTGAGTTAATTGAATTAAATTTATTTGCTGCCCATCTCGTGGTTCAAGGTGACTCTGAGCTATTTGCAGAGTCCAGCTCTCTTGTTTTTAATGCCTCTGTGTCATTCCTGGGGTGTGGAATGACCTTTATGGTGTCAACATCAAAGTTCAAGGAACAAGAATTGAAGATACAGACATTCAATCTGCCATATTAGTTTATGAGTTTAGATGTAAACCAGTCTCTTCACCTTTGCACTAAACGTTTTTGACTCCGTAAAAATTCCATACCATTAAAGTTTTAACGTATCTGGATCTATTGTACTTTCTCTTGAACTGGGCCTTACCTCGTTAGTCTAAGCGAAGACTTATGAACTTTATTTATTTAATCGAGGTGAGAGCCACAGGCAGTCATTCCAACCTACTTTTTCCCTCCTTTTGATGGTCTAGAACGGGGGTCCTCAAACCTGGCAGCTTTGAGATTTGTGGACTTCAACTCCCAGAATTCTCCAGCCAGCATACCATAGCTGGCTGGAGAATTCTGGGAGTTGAAGTCCACAAGTCTTAAAGCTGCCAAGTTTGAAGACCTCTGGTCTAGAACATTAAAAAGGTTTCTGCAGATTTCAGGGGGAAGCAGTCAGAACGTATTGTGGATTGGCTCCCCTTTGTAAAGTTCCCAACACTTCGTCTGTCTGTCACCAAGTTGCTGGGGTGATCATTTAATCAAAACCAGTAGAAAATTCTTTCTCTTCCAGGCCATTTGGAATACAGATAGTACAACCACAATTGAGCCAAAATGTCCGTTGCTAAGCAAGACGGTTGTTAAGTTAGGTTTGCCCCATTTCACAACCATTCTTGCCACAGTTGTTAAGCGAAGCACTGCAGTTGCTAGGTTAGCAACACAGTTGTTAAGGAAATTATGATTTCTGAAGCAGCTCTCCCATATCCAAGGCAAAACCTTTCACACAGCCTTCTGATCCATCCTGCGGGGGAAAACAAATACAACTACAAGCAAAATATATGGGGGAGGGGGTCCCTGCCACTCCTTCCAAGCATCACATAGTGGTCTTAGTTTCCTCCTTCACCTGGGCAAAGCTGCTTACCAATAAACCCTTTGCTTGGAGTTCCCCAGCTTTAGATGAGCTAGAATTGTCTGGGACCACTGTGTGAGAATACAAATTGTGCTTCAGATGAATTGTTTATTTGACAGGCTGCAAATTTCTCCTTTTTTAAAAACAAAGTTAATTAAAAACAACAACACCACCAACAACAACAACAGCGCAAGAAGAATGACTCTACATTGATGCCCATCTGTGGAGAACTCCGAATATTAATATTTGCTCCTCCTTGTAAAAGAAAGAGGCATCAAATCAAGACTTAGCATGTCGAAGAAAAGCCGGCAGAGCTAGAGGATGGAGTAAAACATGTCATCAGTTTAGAGTCCTTGAGTTACCACAAAAGACCCCAAACCAGCCCTCCTTGAATTCTGCAAGCGCTAACGCTTGGGATGTATCTAGGTTTTGAACCGAAGGTTCATGCTTTCCGCTTCATTTTAGGGCAATCCTAGAATGTACCCATGGGATTGTACCTAGTGGTGAAATCCTCAGCGGGTTGCCACCGGTTTGCTGCCCATGCATGCGGGATGTGCACCAGACATGTGGTGCACACACAGTGTGCGCCAAACACACACTGTGTGCGCATGTGCAGTGTGCACCAAACACATGCTGCGCATGTTTAGTGCACACCAAACACACATTTCGCACGGAAAAAGGAGCCGTTTGAAGGTAAGTAGAATAGTGAGGGGGGAGGGAACAGCTGTGCCGCATGATTTAGATTCTAGCGAATATAAATGGTGCAGCATAGCTGATCATCGGAAATACTGCTTCACCTGAACCAGTAGTTTTTATTACTATCGGTTCTCCCGAACCGGTGCAAATCGGTAGCATTTCACCCCTGATTGTACCACAGTTTAAAACAAGGTAAGGCAAGGGTCTCCAAACTTGACAAACTTTGACTTGTGGACTTCAACTCCCAGAATTACCTCAGCTAGTCACATTGGTTGGGGAATTCTGGGAGTTGAAGTTCACCAGTCCACCAGTTGTCAAGTTTTGAGCCCCCCCCCGCCCCCCCCAACATAAAGGGGATGAAAGAGATCTTCAAGCCAGCCAGGTGTATTAATTGAAACTGCTACTAACTAGGCAGCCTTGGGAGAAATGTTTTCATGGCTTTCCTGCCAACTTGACCGAACATTCACCTGCTGTTTTTTCTCCAGCGCATGTTTGTGTGTGTTTTGGTTCTTTGACTTGTTTCAAAGAGTGCAGACTAAAGCATGGTTTGGATGCTTTTAAGTTAATGCCTTTCTTCCAAAGAAAAGAGAAGTTGAACTGAAAGCAAAGGCCAAGTAGAAAATGCAAATATTAGCATCAGCATAAACAAAATTCTCTTGGGTCAGCTGGATCAAATCAGAAGCATTGCTGTTGAACACAGAAAAATAATGGCAACGTAATTTTGGATGACGGGCGTGGAATGTTGCTGCAAAGGCCTAATGGAGGGTGGTAGGAATACCCACTTTTTGGAGAAGCTTAGTGTGGTTCATGAAACAGAAAGAAGAAAGTAGATTCGTAAGTATTATATATTTTGGATAGCGAAGTTCTGCAAAATTTGTCCCTTGAGTGTAGAATTACGTACTCCTAACAGGGTTTTGCAGCTGTTTGAAATAAAACCAGGGTTCTATCGTGGGCTAATTCTTTGGAAATTCCTTGTGCCTCTTACACACTTGCTTAAGAATAATGTTGAGCCGTCTGGTATTCAAAGAAAATTGTGTTTGGAAGTAATTACTATTATAACGCATTAATGGTTTTGCTGTTTGAGTTAATACTGATTTAAAAAAAAAAAAAAAAAAACCCACGATCCAGGCTCCCAAGGGAAGGAATGTTTTGCATTATGTTAAAAACTATTAAGACTTTTTTTTTTTTACTGCCGGAGGAAAAATGAGAATGATTAAACTGTAAACATATTTAACTTCCAGAAGAGCTTATCTGAATGCTTGTTTGAATTATAGCTTCAGGGGTAATTTAAAGCCAAATTGTTGATACTGTTAATTCCCTTTTTGGAAGTTTGCTGTTCATAACCTTTTTAGGACTGGGGAGCTATGCCTATGGGTCCCCCTCCCCTTATTGTTCTTGTTAAACTATTCCTGTGGCTGTTGAACATTTAAACTTTTATAAGATCATTGGTGGGGGCTCGAAGGCTCAGTGGTTAAAGACACTGAGCTTGTCAGCTGGCATCCAGATTGAAGACACGAACGTCATGCAATGGGGTGAACTCCTGTTTCATTCCCCAGCTCCTGCCCACCTAGCAATTCAAAAGCATGCAAATGAGAGTAGATAAATAGGTACCATTTCAGTGGGAGGGTACCAGCGTTCTGTGCGCTTCAGCATAGCCATGCAAGCCACATGACCAATGAAATTGTCTTCAGACAACACTGGTTCCCTCGGCTAAGAAACGGAGGTGGGCACCTCTCCTTAGACACAACTGGACAGGTGAAACTTTTACCTTTACCTGTAAATAAGTGGACTTCAAATTGTTGTAACTGCAGGAGAGAGAGATTTTTAAAGATGGTGGTTCAGCCATAGTTAATTGCTTTATTTTTAACAACTATTTATTCATGTCCAGCCTTTCCCTTGAGGGAGGAAAAGAAAGAAAAAGGCCTTCAGAAAAGTTCTCCCAGGAGCACCATAGAGAAAGGTCCTTGAATCTCTTCCATCTCCAGCCCTGATGGCTTCTCTGGGGGTTTTGAAATGTTTATGTTTCTCAGCTCAGCTTTCATAACCTTTGTTAGGGAGCACAGTCACTCTCACTTTTTGCAAATAAACACAAGTGTGTTTTGCTTTATGGAAAGAGCCACAAAAGTGCTAAAGCTGGTCTGTTCAGACACTTCCCACAGTTGAGTAGGAGGAAACCAATTCCCCTTCCAAAAGGGGATCCTATTTTATGCTTCAGTGCAGCTTTCTTTAAAAACAAAAAATACCCAAACTCATGTATTCCTCTTCCTTTTTAACTCAATTAGTTTTTTTTTAAAGATTGCTTCCTTTTTTTAGTTTTGGTTTGAGGCCTATTTATAGAACCTGTTTTAGCTCCAGTACTGAATAATCAAATCCTGGATTGGGAGGTTGGTTTACTTCAAGTACATGAAATTGTAGTAAGGGTCTCTTTGGCTGTGAAGAAAGCGACCAAGCAGGTGTCGGGTCTGACTGTCCCCCCAGGGTGTGTCATCAATCACATTCACCAACAGGGCAGTTTCGTGGGTTGTAAAGATCACTCCCCTCAGGCCGCTGTGGGTAACCCTGGGAGACAGCCTTGAGAAAGATACATCGGGAATGTGCTCCTGTCTTTGGATGTTGTGTTGCTTCGTTGGTTTCCCATCCCCCTTGCCTACAGCAACTCGAGAGCAGGCTTTGCAAGTTGGCATTAGGCTTTTCTTAGATGTCCTTGGGTTGAAGTGATGCCAGGTCCCCCATGGAATCTCTGGGCTGCCCCTGATCCTTGTGACCGAATGCAATCTTGGGTGTATAAATGCTCTTGCTGGCTTTGGATGGGCCTCAGCTCAGTGTTCACAAGAAGGGCTGTTTTTAGTGACCTGTGTTGTGTTTTCTTCCTTCTGGTCCTTCCTGTAGCGATGTGGAGAAAAGGAAGAGGACTTCCTCGGTGTGCAGCAGCGACTCTCTAAATGCTGGTGGTCTCACCCTGGCCCCCCCGTCGGATCTCCTGGCGGCAGAGGATCTTCCTAAGGGTGGCATCACCCATGAAGAAGTCTCCTTCGGCCATGCAGCTTCAAGGTCCGTGTCTACTTGGAGAAAATGATTCAGGCAGTGAAATTGGGTTGCCTTTTCTCTTTTAAAGATGGGTATCTCTTGGAGATTCACATCTAGGTTCCAAAGTGTCTATGGAGATTCTCAGTCATCCAGGTCATGGTTGTCCCAAAAGTGCTTTTTCAAGAGGCAACTGGACTTTTTAAAAAGCACCTTTGGGATTGGTCCCAAAGTGTTCTTTCATTAGAGGGCCTCCAGGATGTGGAGTATCTGGTGGCCTTCGTGTAAGTCGTCAACCTGAGTATATGACTGACTGAGGTGACCATTTAGTCAATACCATAGTGAAGTTATGAGGAATGGTTTCTTTCCTCCCATAATACCATGATGCCAGTTTGTTTGCAGGTGATGGAATCTTTCAGCTTCTCAAAACTTTGTAAGCAATGCCCAGGTTTCAAGAACAGATAGACATATTGATCTATTAATCAGCAATGCACAATTTCTCTTCCTGTGTTTTCATATTCTTTGAAAATGAGAAAGATGATGACCTTTAGGACTGGTTGAACTTAAAATTTCAAAAATGAAAATTTCAAAATCCATTTGGGAGTTTCCAATACCTAACAATAATCTAGATCGGTGTTTCTCAACCTTGGAAACTTTAAGCTTTGTAGTACTTCATGCTGGCTGGGGAATTCTGGGAGTTGAAGTTCACACTGCTTAAAGTTGCCAGGGTGGAGAATCTAGATTAAATAAATTCAATTCTGTGCCAGTCATCAGGTATCTCAAAGGAGAGATAAGAAGTTGAAATGTAAATTCAGCTTTCAAGATTGCGATGTTGTCTTCTTCTCAAGATGCTTTTCACGCCAAAGCTGCCAATCATTAACATAAAGTTTTGAGTAGGTTCTAATTTAAGGACCAGACAGGGAGTCGCGTCTCTGCAGCTCTGGTATTTCCCTAATAAAGTCCAGCATACACTAAAATTCTTCCAGGTGTGATATCAATATTCTGATTTCTGCTTACAATGCCTGCTTGAATGCACCTAGAGTTGATTTGGCTTTAGTTTTTACAGGAAGCTTGTGAGCATCATCTAAATTTAGATTTACTTCTGGATTCATCCTCGGATAAAGGATTAATGCTTGTTCTACCGTGTTTTCCCGAAAATAAGACCGGGTCTTATATTAATTTTTGCTCCAAGCATTAGGGCTTAGTTTCTGGGTAGGTCTTATTTTGGGGGAAAATGCGGTACTAAATGCATCCATCTGGCTGACAAACTTAACTGGGGCTTATTTTGGGGGTAGGGCTTATATTATGAGCATCCTGAAAAAAATCATTTTAGGACTTATTTTCGGGGAAACAGTATATTTCTTGCCAAAATGTAAAGCCGAGTCTCCAACCTTGGCAATTTTAAGCCTGACGGACTTCAACTCCCAGAATTGACTCAGGGAAGGGGTGGGGGAGTGGCAGCAATCATTAGAGAAAGTCTTTGCCCGAGGGAGGCCACTGTTCCTCAGATAGCTGGATGTGAGTCCCTCCTTGTGAAGTGGGGTCGGGGGATTCAGATGGGCCTACTGATTGCGTACCTGGCTCCCTGCCACGTAACAGCGGTCCTGCCTGAGCTGCTTGACATTATAGCCGGGGTGGCGGTGGAAACCCCCAGACTTATTGTTATGGGGGATTTTAACCTGCCATCTGCTGGTGAGATGTCGGAGACAGCTCGGGAGTTCATGGCTTCCATGATGGCCATGGGCCTGACCCAGGTAGTTCAAGGCCCCACCCACTTGGGGAATCACACTCTGGACTTGATTTTTGTCTCTGATCAGTGGCTGAATGATCTAAGAATAGGGGATATAGACATCAAGCCCTTGTCATGGTCTGATCATTCTCTCCTTCACATGGACTTTCAAGTCACTTCCACCCACCGCAGGGAGACAGAACCAACCAAATGGTTCCGTCCCAGGCACCTGATGGACCCCGAAAGGTTCCTGATGGAGCTTGGGCCATTTCCTGAGACTCTGGCTCACGACTCAACTGAGGACCTGGTGGTCGCCTGGGACAGGGTGGCTACTGGGGCCTTGGACCGCGTCGTGCCTTTGCGGCCTCTGACCCGATGCCGATCTCGTCTAGCTCCTTGGTTTTTCGAGGAGCTGAGAGAGATGAAGCGTCGGAAAAGACGCCTGGAGAGCGATTGGAGGACAAGCCGATCTGAATCTGACCGAACACAGGTGAGATCTTATATTAAGACCTACCTAGTGGCGATAAGAGCGGCGAAGTCTAGCTACTTCTCCGCTCTTATTGCATCTGCAGAGAACCGCCCAGCTGCGCTGTTTAGGGTGACCCGCTCCCTACTTCAGGTGGGGGTATGGGAAGATCCCTTAAAGGGTCGAGCTGAGGATTTTGTACAATTCCTGCCTGATAAAGTCGCTCAGATTCGGGAAGGCCTGGACTCCGATTGGGTAGATCCAGGGGAGGAGACGGGGGCAGGTCTTGAGAGCGTTATCTGGGAAGAGTTTGACTCTGTGGCTCCTGAGGACGTGGACAGGATTCTGGGCAAGCTTAACACTGCCACATGTTTATTGGACCCGTGTCCCTCCTGGTTGGTACTGGCCTCCCGGGAGGTTGCACGAGGCTGGCTCCAGGGGATTATAAATGCTTCTCTGAGTGAGGGTGTCTTTCCCGCCGCCTTGAAAGAGGCGGTTGTGAAGCCCCTCCTCAAGAAGCCTTCCCTGGACCCGGCTATATTATCAAATTATCGTCCAGTCTCCAATCTTCGCTTTGTTGCGAAGGTTGTTGAGAGTGTGGTGGCGCGACAACTACCCCAATACCTGGATGAAGTTGTCTATCTGGATCCGTTCCAGTCGGGCTTCAGGTCACAATACAGCACGGAAACGGCATTGGTCGCATTGGTGGATGATCTCTGGAGGGCTCGGGACAGAGGTTGCTCCTCTATCCTGGTCCTATTAGATCTCTCAGCGGCTTTTGATACCATCGACCATGGTATCTTACTGCACCGGCTGGAGGGGTTAGGAATAGGGGGCACCGTGCTTCGGTGGTTCTCCTCCTTCCTCTCTGACCGTTCGCAGTTTGTGTTGGCAGGGGGGCAGAGGTCGACCTCGAGGCACCTTATTTGTGGGGTGCCGCAAGGGTCAGTCCTCTCACCCCTTCTGTTCAACATTTATGTAAAACCGCTAGGTGAGATCATCCGTGGTTTTGGGGTGAGTGTTCATCAGTATGCTGATGACACACAGCTATACATCTCCACCCCAGACCACCCCAATGATGCCCTTGCTGTGATGTCCCGTTGCCTGGAGGCCGTGCGGATCTGGATGGGGAGAAACAAGCTCAGACTCAACCCCTCCAAGACCGAGTGGCTGTGGCTTCCGGCGTCCCGGTATAGTCAGCTGGTACCATCACTGACAATAGGGGATGAGATCTTGCTCCCCACAGAGAGGGCCCGCAACTTGGGTATCCTCCTGGATTCACGGTTATCTTTAGAAGATCATTTGACGGCCGTGGCCAGGGGTGCCTTTTATCAGATTTGCCTGATCCGCCAGTTGCGTCCCTTTCTGGATCGGGACGCCTTGCGCACGGTCACTCACGCCCTAGTTACCTCCCGTATGGACTACTGTAATGCTCTCTACATGGGGCTCCCCTTGAAAAGCACCCGGAGGCTCCAACTGGTCCAGAACGTAGCCGCACGGGTGATTATGGGCGCAGCTCGTTACGCCCATGTAACACCTCTCCTACGCGAGCTGCACTGGCTCCCGGTGGTCTTCCGGGTGCGATTCAAGGTGTTAGTTATCACCTTTAAAGCGCTCCATGGCTTAGGACCTGGGTACCTACGAGACCGTCTTTTGCCACCAATAGCCTCCCACCGACCAGTTTGTTCTCACAGGGAGGGACTACTCAGGGTACCGTCAGTCAAATTATGTCGACTGGCGACTCCCAGGGGGAGGACCTTCTCTGTGGCGGCTCCAACCCTTTGGAATGAACTGCCCCCGGAGATACGGAATATCCCTGATCTCCGTGCTTTCCGCCGTGCCCTCAAGACCCTGATGTTCCAACAGGCAGGGCTAAACATACAAACATGTGAATGATTTTTTAAAATGTTATCTAATTCTGGGTTTTATTTAATTGACCAAACTAAGTAATAATTTTAATTAGCAATTTTATGATGTTTGTGTGTCTATATTTTTTCTTGACTGTACACCGCCTTGAGTCCTACGGGAGAAAGGCGGTATAGATATATAATTAATAAATAAATAAATAAATAAATAAATAAATAAATAAATAAATAATAAATAAATAAATAAATAAATAAATAAATAAATAAATAAATAAATAAATAAATAAATAAATAAATTCCCCAGCCAGCTGGCTGGGGAATTCTGGGAATTGAAGTCTGCCAGGCTTAAAGTTGCCAAGGTTGGAGACCCCTGATGTAAAGTGTGAGAGATCTTACGTCTGTCCCTTTTCTGGGATAATAAAGAAAAACATGGCTGCTGTCAGTGTTTCTGCTGCAGGTGGTCATAAACAGAATGACCCCACCACATCTGCCAACAGCTGCTTTAGAGTCTATACTGAAAGGGCCTCCTAATTTGGCCCTGTGTCTCCCATGAGCTCATACCTCTGAAGGGCCCTTTGCCAGGAGTGAGAAGTTTGGGCGGTTTCCTTTCATTTCCAACCACTTCAAAGCCTGATTGATGATAAACAGAAGATCCTGCTGGGGAGATGTTTAGGCAGAGAGCTCTAAAAGCCCTTTTGTATTGTTGACTTGGGATCTGTTGGTTTAAATAAGGATCCCTTTACGATCCCGCATGTGATGAGTGTTGTTTGGTGTTAAAAGGTGTCGCCTATATGCTCTATCTGTACTCATTAGGGGTACCAAGGGTGAGGGAATGACACATTCTTGCTGACCCAGCACTGCACGGTAAGGAAAAAGGGTCAAAACAGCAGAATAAATCTAAAATAATAGAATCTGAAATCCAAAAATAATGTGTTCTTTCTTGGTTTTATTTTCGGAACAGAATACAGTTTTATATCTCTCTCTCCCCCCCCCCCCCCCCCCCCCCCCCCCCCCCCATTTATCTCTCTCCCTCCCTCTCTATTTATCTCTCTCTCCCTCTCTCTACCTATTTATCTCTCTCTCCCTCCCTCTCTCCCTATTTATCTTCCTTCCTCCATCCCTATTTATCTCTCTCTGTCTCCCTTCCTCTCTCCCTACCTATTTATGTATCATCTGTCTATTGTCTGTCTGTCTGTCTGTCTATCTACCTACTACCTATTTATCATCCAATTACCTACCTACCTACTACCTATTTATCATCCTACCTACCTACCTACTACCTACCAATTTATCATCTGTCTGTCTGTCTATTTACCGCCCATCTCAGCATGACTCTGGTTAGCTTACAATAACATGGTCAATGTTAAAATTAGATGAGGTACAAAATTCAACAACAGAAAAGGGTCAGGGTTTTGCTGATTTGTCTTTCAAGTATATCAGTTTCTGGCTTGGGGGGTATAGCAGAGGTGGGGAACCATGGTCCCTTTATGACTTTGTGGACTTCAACTCCCAGATTTCCTGAGCCAGCATGGCTCACTCAGGAATTCTGGGAGTTGAAGTCCACAAGTCATAAAAGGGCCGTCATCTGCCATCACCTCGCTTATAGTGCTGAACCTGAGGTTGCACTGCGTTAGGAACTTTGCAGCACAAACTAAAATGGCAAAAGGTGTTTGTTTGGGTCTCTGAAGGGTTCGCAGCCAACCATTTGTAGGTCGAGGGGGTGGGATGGGGGAAGGGTAACACAGAGGTAAGGTGGATCGGGCACCATCAAAAATACACAATTAGGGTTGGGCTGCGTTTCCTTAAAGCGGGCCTCAAGTACAGATACTGGATAGCATTTACCGAATTCAGGGGTAACCAAACGGTTCTTCCCAGATGGCTGTGATGAAAAAGAACTGCTGCCATTATCGCCGCTTCCACCATCTTTTGACGAAATGCCCCTGGTTTCCATCTTGCAAAACGAGGATGTCCAAGACCAGACCGGAGAGAAGAAGAACTCGGAGGAGCTGCAGAGCCTGTGGAGAAAAGCAATCCACCAGCAGATCCTTCTCCTTCGGATGGAGAAGGAAAACCAAAAACTGGAAGGTTGGTGCAGGCCGTAGGATATCCAGGGGGTCCCGAGAGGGATGGAGGACTTCCTGGGGCCTTTCTAGTGTCCGCTTTTTTTTTTTTGAATGACTCATTAAATAGTTGTTACAAGAATCACAAACCCATCTTGCTATTTTAGCATAGCGGTTGGGTATGTCTGGGTGTGATCTCTCTGTAGGAGTTCTGCACCTCAAAATTATCTTTTGTTTTCCTATTGCCTCTTAATTATATTTCTGTTCAAGAAAAAAAGTCTTCCCCTGTTATTTATTCTCTCCGTCTTGATGGACCTACCTTCCTTCCTTCCAGTGGCGAAATGTAAAATTTGTTACTACCAGTTCTGTGGGCGTGGCTTGGTGTGTGTGGGGGGTAATGTGACTGGGTGGGCGTGGCCAACTTTTTCTTTTTTTACATTTAAAAGCATTTTTTCTACAACCTCTTCGGCCGAAGAGGTTGTAGAAAAAATGCTTTTAAAAGTAAAAAAAAAAAAAAAAGGTTTTGGGGGGGGGGGGGGCCCGGGGGGACGGGGGGGGGGGGGGGGGGAGCAGGGATTTTTGCTATCGGTTCTCCGAATCACCCGCTGCCATCGCTACCAGATCAGGCAATCTGCTCCGAACTGGGAGCATTTCACCCTTCCTTCCTTCCTTCCTTCCTTCCTTCCTTCCTTCCTTCCTTCCTTCCTTCCTTCCTTCCTCTAAAACCTGCCTATTCACTTGCTTCTTCCTCCCACAACAATTTCTAAACATGGTTCAGTGGATCAGATGTTTAGTTTAGTGTTGGGCACGTCACCCTGGGCAGAAGAGGTTCTCGTGGCTTCTTTGCTGGTCTTTGCCATCAGTGCCAAGCACAAGAAAGCATCAGAGACAGCTTTAGATGTTCTTCATTCCTTCAGAGATAGGAAACCCAGTTCCAGCAGCCATGTGATTTGAGCACAGCCCTTAATATTCTCTGTCCAAAGATGTTGAGCGATGATGGGAAGAACCTCTGGTCAGGTTTCTCAACCTCCTTTGCTAAGAACGAAGTGAGGAGATATCAAGAACATTTCTTGGCACATACAGGTTGACCTTCCTTAGGACATGTTTCTCCAGAAACTCCCCATCTGTACCCTGGCCCCATTCTCACCCCCCAGCAGGGAAACTCTGATTTAGAGCTGCTTCATCTGTTTATTATAAGTTAGACTTTGGTCATCAAGAGGAAGGAGGAAACTGATGGTTGCCATTGCTGATAGATTCATACATGAAGATGGAGAAGAAGAGATGGAAGCAGGATGACTGCAGGGCTCTGAACTCTCGCCAGCCCTTCTAGGGGACAGATGGGAGGGTGACTTTTCCCAGAATGTTCCCAGAAGGCAGAATCCAAATTGGTTACTCTGGAGAAGTTGTGTTTCAGCACATGCCCAGCCTGACCGTGGGATAATGTCAAAGTTCCACTTTTTTAACAGATTAACAGAGTTGGAAGGGACTTTGTAGGTCATCTAGTCCAACCCCCTGCCCAAGTGGGAGACCCTACACCATTTCTGACAAATGGCAGTCCAATCTCTTCTTGAAAGTCTCAAGTGATGAAGCTCCCACAACTTCTGAAGGCAACTTCTGTTCCACTGGTTGATTGTTCTCACTGGCATAAAATGTCTCCTTATTTCCAGGTTAAATCTCTCCTTGGTCAGTTTCCATCCATTATTCCTTGTCTGGCCTACAGGTGCTTTAGAAAATAGCTTGACCCCTTCCTCTTCTCTGTGGCAGCCCCATAAATATTGGAAAACTGCTATCATGTCTCCCCTGGTCCTTCTCTTCACTAGACATTGGATCTTGCACTAGCCTAAGTGTAGTTCCTACCTCTCCTGCCTGCCCGGCCAAGTTAATTTAATTTAATTTAATATTTAAATTTATATACCGCCCTTCTCCCGAAGGACTCAGGATTGATTATAGCATCTCTGGCTCCCCTCTGTTGGAGAGGTCGGCGTTTCCTTTTATTTCTCCTTTAATATCTCGCTTGAACGCCTGGGTGATGCATAAGACCATTTGGGTGATATACCATTTAACTGATGTCGAGGGAGGTCCGGGGGAAATAAAGCAGAGAATACATTCGGAGAATGAAGAGTGTTCTAATCGGCGGGCATTATGAACTAAAAAGCATGAAGCCATTTATTTTCTTCCGCTGTGATGAATGTGAAAGGGGGAAAATGAGAAAATAACCAAGAGGGGCGCTGGGAATTGTGGCTGAGTGAAATTTTGACTCCTGGGTATTTGAGCGTCCTGTTGATGGCCGGCGGGGCTGTTTCCTTAGCAACCACTGTGCAGGACAAACCCAAGGGCTGTAGAGGGAAAACAACGAAGTTTCTGCAGCTGGAAGTTGCTTTTCTTCTAATTTCCCCCATCTCTGCTTTTCTTCTGTAACCTTATCCACCTTAATGAAATCGATTAACCAACTTTTAACACTTCCTGTTCTTCCTAATGCTATCGAGGAGTTTGAAGGAAGCTTTGTTTTACAGAAGGTAAGTGTGCTGCCCCACTCACTCACGCTCACACGTCGGTGTGGTTTATAGAGTGTTTTATTAGTCTTCCCTCTCCGCAGATCAGCTTTAGAACTGTCCCAACCGAAGCCAATTATGAGCAAGCCCAGATTAATTCCCCAGGCAATGGCCAATTAGTCCATAACACAGATAGCAAGCTATAGGACTCAAACAGTGAGTCCTATAAACGAACATAAAGCTCTCCTCCAGGCAAAACTTAAAAGTACATCCACGTTAGCTCACGGGTTATAGAAATTCAGACTCTCAGGAAATACGAACGAGCACGCAGCCACGACCCACACAAAATCTCCCAGCAATGCCTCCCTCTGCCTGCCGTGCTAAATAGCTCCTGGTGCAGCTCATCAAGAGGAGTGGAGCCTTTTCCTGAGCAATCTGGCAGACCTCCGTTTCTCTGCCCTGCGTGCTCTGAGATCCACTACAGCAGGCAGCTCCTCCTCCTCTTCTTCACTGGCCTGCATGATGTCCTGAGCTGAAGCCTGTTCAGCTGGCAGTTCAGGATCAGTAATTCCTGACGTGCCAGGAATGATCTCATTCCTCAACTGGCCATGGCCAACTCGCCACAGGACAACTCGCTGCGGGACAAGAGTCAACACTAGTATCAAAGAAAGGGTAACGTAAAATCATTAAAAAAAAAGGATGCAAAAGGAGGGACAAAGGGAAATGTGAATGACAAAAGTGTAAATCATTTTTTTACATTTATTTTAAATTGTTAAATTGAATTGTTGAATGGTCTCGTGGCAAGTTGTCCCGGAGTGAATTGCCCATGGCGAGTGGTCCCGCAGCTAGTTGGCCATGGTGAATTGGCCACAGCGAGTTGGTGGCGGTGAGTTGTTCCATTTCGGCCTGTGCCTGGGTTTGCACGTAGACACACTCTACATCTGCGCATTCAGGTGCTTGCAGGTTGATTGTTAATTTTTAAAGATCTCGATTATCGAGTTGTGTCAACATCTGAAGCATCGGTGGAAAAAACCAACCAAGAACTCTATTGGTCTCCTCAAAAGTCTAATGAGTTGGGCCCCAAAACTGCCTGGTCTGTCTGACCATGGTTAGGAACAGGGTCCACATGAGATGCTTTCCTGAAGGATTTGCCATGCTTCTCAGTTGCTTCTTGGGCACCACTTAATGAATTACGGTATCCCGGTTTAGATCCTGAGAGTGCATAAGGAAGCCCTTCTCCCATTCTGGACTATCTATCCCAGGTAATGAGAAATAATTGCTTGAAGATCCATCCTTCTGCTATGGAAATAGGGCCTCCTCCCGCCTTAACACCAGGCATCCCTCAGGTGTTGCATTTAACACAAGAAACATGCCACGTTTAGCAAATCCAACAAGGAAAAACATTAGTCCAGAAGATGACCTTGAAAAGAAAAAAAAATAGGCTCCAACCTTTTGTTGATAAACGCTTAAAACATTTCCTGACATTGTAATTAACCCGGGCTTTAGAATTCCTTTGGTTGGGCAGGATATCCACCTTTTCCTGCTTATTAGCATTCTTAGAGACATGTTGAATTGAGGCATTCGTTATCGAGAAGATATTTTAAAGGAACTGGAAAGTTTGTTTCCTACAAAATCAGATAATTTTTTTGCTCAGGACTGAGTGCCACCTGGCAGTTGGCATACAGCATATTGGGACTCTGTGCAGCAACAGCATGAGTTCTGGTAGCCCAGCTGTCCTTTCCCACCATTATCACCACCTGGCTCATCTCACCTGTCCCAGGTGCTCACCAGTGGTGGGATTCAAACTTTTTTTACTACCAGTTCTGTGGGCATGGCTTGGTGGGCATGGCATGGCTTGGTGGGCATCAGGGATGGGTTCTACTTACCTTCACTATCGGTTTGCATTGTGCCCATTGTGCACGTATGCTCTTCTGCACATGCACAGATCTATGATGACATCTGAGTCAGTGGGCGGAGCCTGCCGCTAGTTTTACTACCGGTTCTTGCAAACCGGCCTGAACCGGGGGCAACCCACCATTGGTGAGCATGGCAGGGCTTGGTGGGCATAGCTTGGTGGGCATAGCTTGGTGGGTGTGGCAGGGGAAGGATACTGTAAAATCTCCATTCCTACCCCACTCCAGAGGGAAGGATACTGCAAAATCCCCATTTCCTCCCGATCAGCTGGGACTCGGGAGGCAGAGAATAGATCGGGGTGGGGCCAGTCAGAGGTGGTATTTACCAGTTCTCCGAACTACTCAAAATTTCCGCTACCGGTTCTCCAGAACTGGTCAGTACCTGCTGAATACCACCTCTGGTGCTCACCCTGAGTCCTGCTACTGGACCTCTCAATTAGATGTAGCCATAAAAAGTGAACTTGACCAGAAGGATAAAGCAAAATCCTTTTTGCCCAGCCTACCACGCACCCCCCCCCAAAAGGCCCACTCTGCCATTTTTGATTGTGTAGTAACTCCGCTCAACTTCACAGTTGCTGGTTGCACCTCGGTTAATTTTTTGTCGTGAAAATACGAAGCACATGGCCATTGTCCTGAAGAGCCCTTGAGGAATTAAACCTGAGAGAAAGGGGAATGCAAAAGTTGTGGATAGAAATGCAAAAGAAGACAATAAAGACAGAACCCTCCCCTGAATGAAGATTCGATTCTGGTTAAACTAATCCAGTTTGCCTGCCACAGAAAAGGTTGTTGCAATGTTGTTAAACATGGGCATAACCCTGGTTAAGAGAAGATCAAAAATCACTCGCTGTTGCGCAATTACTAAATGGCTGCTGTTATGTCTTAGACTTTATGGATTTAGTACCCCATATCAGTGTAAAGCCTGAAATAAATAGTAGTGAAATCAGGCATATGAGGAGCTGCATACTTCCTTTTTAAATTGCTGTTGACAGTATTATACCCAGTTCATGTGTCAGTTGCAAGTGACAGTTGGGACTGACATTCTGAATTGTGGAGGAAACAGGCTTTTTGTCCTGAAAATGTTATGTGTGTGTCCCCTTTTTCTTTGTGACTCACTGGGACTTGAACGATCAACACTGAGATAGGGACATCTCTCCCAGGTATGGCACAATCTGTTTACCTGTGGACAGAAATTAAACCAAAGGGTGGAAAACCTACAGTAGTGGCCAAAATTGTGGAAATCTTTTGGGAAAAGTGTAGTTTGAGGTTTGATGGCTAATAACACCACTTTTTTTTTTTTTTTGAGTTTCAAGATAATCATATTTCACTGCTGGAATGGCCTGGGAATAGCCCAGACCTCACCCAATTGAAAATCTATGGAGCCGACTAAAGAAACATGTTAGTCAGAAGCGACCCAGCAATAAAACCCAGTTAATAGAAGCAATCATTCAATCTTAGTTTCACATTATAACAGCTGCAGAACTAAAAGACTTGTTTCACTCCGAGAGAAGACGTTGTAAGGCCGTAATTCATGCTAAAGGTTACCCAACTAAGGATTAATTGACTTGGTGATGATTTTTGTATATCTCGTTTTTTCCATGGTGATAATTTTTATCTCGTTTTTGTTCTACCTGTTTCACTTTTCTTCTTTATACTTTAACTGCTATTCTAATAGCAAATCCTTCATAAAAGTTATTGCATTACATTCTTGATTAAATTATCTTTCCATTGATATATAATTTCACGGTACTATTCCAAAAAATCAGTGGTGTTATTAACTAGTTTTAGAAAATACACTTTTCCCAAAAGGGTTCCACAATTTTGGCCACTACTGTAGTAAGCTCTGAACGTTAGGCTGATTAGTGAGTGGAAGAAATATCTCATCCAGCCTAGAAAGACCATCTTCTACTATTTAATATAAATGTTAGTTGAAGAACTGGATTGTGGGAAGGCTTTGATTTGTATTGCCTAGTGCAAAAAGCAGAATCCTGTGCTTACTTTTGGACTGAATCATTGAATGGGATCTCTCTCTTTTTTTTGAAAAGTTTTTTTTTAAAAAACAAACAAACATAAAATACATCTTTTTAGAGCAAGGATTTGATCCGGTATAAAGTAAATACAATTACTCACATTCCCTCAACCAATTTTGTTCCAAATTTTATCCATTTACCTCTTTTAAAAAAAAAGGAAAAAAAAGAAAAAGAAATCTTATTGTAAACATTTAGATTTTGAACATTCCACTATGTCACCCTAAATTCTAAACAATTATTTCCAAATAGACATCATTCCAAATCTTTGTCATTTTAACAATCAATATTTCATATATATTCCTCATTTCTAAGACCCATTATATCGAATCTATATTGTACCTCTTTTAAATGGCAATTAGTATCCATAATCTTGACAAAGAATATTTTCCTCCTCCTCTTAATTGTTTCTAAGTCAATCAACATTTCCATCTAAAATTTGTCACTCCCAAAATACTTTATTTTAAAATCTAATATTTAACTGATTCATAATAGCTATTTCATTGAATGGGATCTCTCTTGTGGTTGGTGTCTCTGGGATCCAGTGTATGCACATCCAAATGTGGTGAAGTTAACTGCTTATCTGAAGATGCTTCATGAGTCTTCTCTCTTGCAGCGAGCAGAGATGAGCTCCAATCCAGGAAAATTAAGCTGGACTATGAGGAAGTTGGAACCTGTCAGAAGGATGTCATTAACATCTGGGACAAGAAACTGCTGAATTGCAGAGCCAAGATCAGATGTGATGTGGAAGACATTCATACCACCCTGAAAGATGGTAAGTTCTGAGCCCAACAGACTTAGTGCCCAGGAAAAAGGCAAGGGGTCGCAACTAAGGCTTGGCATCTTCAAGGGAAATGGCACCCATGCAGGAGAGGAACATTACACAAAAATTTTGCTGTGTCTCAAAATCTCTTAAATCAGGTCTTTAGAGTAAAAGTTGGTAATTATCTCACCCAGTTTCAGTGTTCTGTCCATTTGTGCTCCAGCACAAATCTTATAGTCCCGATTGTCCCAGCTTTGTGACTGTCAAAAATGGCAATCGTCCCTGCTGCCATTCAGGAGAGCTTGCTTTGAACCTAACTAGGAAATCGTGGTCAGTGAGGTCCTTCCTTCATCGCCCCTACAAGGCAGCTATGACCTCTTAGGGTCTCCCAACAGTGGTTACCGGCTGGATTTTGGCGGAGCTTGCTATTTTCCAGCCATTCTCGCTGCGATATCAACCGGAAGTCCCTCTTTGTCTCAAAATCCCAATGGTGTTCTTTTGCATCTACTGCCTGGTGTTTTTACTTAATTAGTGATTGATTACAGCATTGAGTTTTGATTTAGTCCTTGAGGGAAGAAAAAGGGAAAGATGTCCTTGAGTGGAGGTCAATTCCTGGTGCTTCAGGAACACATCCAGGTTGAGTTTGTGTGTTTGTGGGTGGGTGTTTGCCAACAGGGTATGTTTGTTCCTTCTCCTGAGATACTTTTCTTGCATTTCTCCAGTGGTGCAACTATATATCTAACCTGGCAGAATACCTCTGCCTTCTACTCACCATCCTAATAAAGTCCAGCCCTGCTTAGTGCTCAAGGCCAATCAAAGGCAACACTTATTTTCTTAAGTTCAGAAATAGCTTCACCACTGCCAGATATTTTCAGCTGTTGCACGCACTCAAGGTTGTCCCTATGTATGTATGTGTGATTGCAAGGGGAAAAAAATGTGTCTCTCACTCCCTTTCCATTCTTCACGGTTTTGTTCAGGTGTCCCCAAAAGCCGCCGGGGAGAAATTTGGCAGTTTCTGGCTGTGCAGCACCGTGTCAGACACCGGCTCCCAAATAAGCAACAGCCTCCCGACATCTCCTACAAAGATCTCTTGAAGCAGCTGACAACGCAACAACATGCCATCCTGGTGGACCTGGGTGAGGGTGCTACTCGGCTGCCGGATGCTTTGGGCTGAGGGGTCCCACGGCATCCCCAGAATAGTGAAGTTGCATCACTGATTGGTGGTGCCAATTATCATGCAAAGAGATCTAATGTTTGTTTTCAGTTACAATTCCATTTATGGTCCTTCCCTGGAGTTCTTCTTCTAGGAAGCAGCCTGAGCTTTCCCTGAGCCCGGATTTCACTTCTGACCTCACCCCTTCTTGTTTTGTCCTAGGAAGGACTTTCCCCACCCATCCCTACTTTTCGGCTCAACTGGGCGCAGGACAGCTCTCGCTCTTCAACCTGCTGAAAGCCTACTCCTTGCTGGACAAGGAAGTGGGCTATTGTCAAGGCATCAGTTTCGTGGCCGGCGTGCTGCTCCTCCACATGAGTGAAGAGCAAGCCTTCGAAATGCTGAAATTCCTCATGTATGACCTCGGATTCCGGAAACAGTACAGGCCCGACATGATGTCACTGCAGGTAAGGGGGAAAAAGAAAAGGGAAAAAAAAAAAGAGTGAAAATGGATGTCCTCCTTCAATCGGTTCCCTGCAGAACCTCTATAATTCCCACTGCAGAAGGAAGACTGCAGTGCTAGCTGGATAGGTGAGAGTAACCTCAAGAAAGATGTAATGCCAGTTGATTCTCTGTTGCTCTTCTTGTGTGGCACTTACAATGTTCAGGATGAGCCCTTCTTTTTTTTTTTTCTTCTTTTTTTAAATTTGATTTATATGCCGCCCTTCTCCGGAGACTCAGGGCGGCTTACAATGCGTTAAGCAATAGCCTTCATCTTTTTGTATATTTATACAAAGTCAGCTTATTGCCCCCACAAACTGGGTCCTCATTTCACCTACCTTAGAAAGGATGGAAGGCTGAGTCAACCTTGAGCCTTGGAGAGATTCGAACCAGCAGAAATTGCAGGCAGCTGTGTTAATAACAGGGTGCGTAGACCACTGTACTATCAAGGCTCTTATGATACAACCTGGAGTTCTGGCTGCTTTGTCATGATAGGTCCTGTCTGTCCTCATCCGTACCACTGCTGGTTTCTCTTAAAACACACCCATCAGTTTGGAAGCACTGCAGTACTTGTGTTCAGCTTAATTTTCCTCAAACTTTTCCTTGGCCTTGCTAGTCTGTCTTCCTCAAAAGGAAGTGTGAGCACATTTTGAGGGTCAACTAAGCTTTACGGCTGTACACAGATAAGTCTGAGCATCAGACAGTTCAGCATCCAGGGACTGGAAACTAAAACATATGAAGAACGGTTGCAGGAATTGGATATGTCTAGTCTAATAAGAAGGATTAGGGGGTGATACGATAGCAGTCTTCCTAAACAGAACAGTGCAGAACAGAAGAGTTGGGTGGGACCTTGGAGGCAGTGGTGAAATATAAAATTTGTTACTACGGGTTCTGAGGGTGTGGCTTGGTGGTGGTGGTGGTGGGGGGTAATGTGACTGGGTGGGCATAGCCAACTTTTTTTTTTTTTTTTTTACTTTTAAAAGCATTTTTTCTACAACCTTAAGAGGTTGCAGGAAAAAATGCTTTTAGAAGGCTCTAACGATCAGGCAACTCAGCTGGGATCGCCAGAGGCTTTTAAAGGCATTTTTTTTCCCTACAACCTCTTCAGCTGAAGAGGTTGCAGAAAAAAATGCTTTTAAAAGCCTCTGACGATCCCAGCTGAGCCGCGCGATCATCAGAGGCTTTTTTTTTTTACTTTTAAAAGCATTTTTTCGGCCGAAGAGGTTGCAGGAAAAAGTGCTTTTAAAAGTAAAAAAAAACAGCCTCTGATGATCGCGCAGCTCAGCTGGGCATGGGGGGGAGGGGCAGGGATTTTTGCTACCGGTTCTCCGAACCACCCGCCGCCATCGCTACCGGATCGGGTGATCCGGTCCGAACCGGGAGCATTTCACCCCTGCTTGGAGGTCTTTTTAGTCCAACCCCCTGCTTAGGCAGGAAACCCTATACCATTTCAGACAAACAGTTCTCTTATCCCTTCTTTAAAACCTCCAATGTTAGAGCATTTACAACTTCTGGAGGTAAGTTGTTCCACTGGTTGATTGCTCTCACTGTCAGGAAATTTCTCCTTAATTCTAGGTTGCTTCTCTCCTTGATTAGTTCCCATCCATTGTTTCTTGTCTTGTCTTCTGGTGCTTCGGAAAATAGGTTGACCCCCTTATCTTTGTGGTGGCCCCTGAGATATCGGAACACTGTCTGAAGGAACTTGGTTTGCCATGCTTGGCCATGCATGGAGTTCTTAGGCAGGTATGGATCTCCTAACTTCCCCTTTTTTTTCCCATATGTTCACGTAGATCCAGATGTACCAGCTGTCAAGGCTGCTTCATGATTATCATCGGGATCTTTACCACCATCTTGAAGAAAACGAAATCGGCCCAAGTCTGTATGCTGCACCCTGGTTTCTCACTTTATTTGCCTCGCAATTTCCCCTGGGATTTGTAGCCAGAATCTTTGGTAAGGATCCGTTTTGCCTTGCATTCCTAAGGAACATATTCTGTTCTGTCCCCCTTCCCCACACAGGCAAACACAGAACCAGGCACGCCTGCCAAGATTTTATTAAGCAATCAGACTAGAAACCTTTGCAGATAAGAGTTTTGGCAGTAAACTGCAAAATGCCTGCCAAGTCAGTTTTCACTCATAGTAAGCAAGAGAGAGATTATCCTCAGTCCGGTTCAGTAGCAAAAAGTAATCCACGAAGCAAGAGTTAGTCAAGGTCCAATCCAAATATGCCCAAGCCAGATTTCAGGTAACACGATGTGACTCTCAGGTTTTTAACTTTGACCGTCACAAAGCCTGAAGAGCAATCATACCCACTTTTATTCCTTGTGGGGTGTGGCTCAGTGACTCAGCTCAATCTCTGGTCCTCCCACACCTCTTTCGTTGCTGCGCACGCTTCTCCCTCTGACGCTGCCTGGGGTCAAGCCAGGATTCATCATCCTCACTCCCTATCTGTTGTTGTTCCCATATGTTTTCCTCCTGGCATATCCCAGGCTGTTCCTCTTGGCCTTCGGATGCAACCTGAGGCATTGCCAGAGAGGAGGGTCCTGGAGAGGGAGGCCTTATCAGTTCCTCCCCATCACCTTCTGAGTCCTCTTCCTCTATTAGGACAGGCTCGGGAGTTGGGGTCACAACAATATTCATTGTGAATGTCAACAGGGACAGCTAGAACAGAACTGGATTTGTGCCTCTTTTTTTTTTTTTTTTACTTCCTTTGGGGTTGCGATTTGTCTGCTCAATAGCACAGGCGGAGGCCGTAAATTAACTCTTCTCTGTGGATCATTTTTTAAAATAGTCTGCGATGTTGTATTAAGATGCATTTCGTTCCCAAGATGAATGGGAGCTGCGTGCTCTCGCCTGGATAGAAATTCTAATTGCAAAAACCCTTTGTTGACCAGTGAAACTGGCAAATGGGCGGGATTGCTTGCTTGTATTCATAAATGTCAATGGAGATTCTCAGTCATCCAGGTCATGGTTGTCCCAAAAGTGCTTTTTCAAGAGGCAACTGGACTTTCTTGTTTTTCCTTGAAGATGTTTCACTTCTCATCCAAGAAGCTTCTTCAGCTCTGACTGAAGGGGGTGGGGAATGGAAGGATTTATACTCCTTGCAGACAGCTGGTCATTTGCATCCTTTTAGCAAGTTGTTAAGGCCGCCTGGAGATTTATCTGTGTCCTCAGGGTCACAGTGTCCTCAGGGTCACCTGAGTGGTGCAAATGGGTGTGGAGCCTTCTTGGAACTGTTGAAAGGACTGTGTTGTAGACTGGAGACACAGTCCTTTCAACAGGGAGCCTTCTCTGTGGGGGCACCCGCCCTCTGGAACGAGGTACCCCCAGGAATACGGCTGATCCCGGACCTCCGTACTTTCCGCCGAGCGCTAAAAGACCTTCTTATTCCAGCAAGCCGGGCTGGCTTAAAATTTTAATGGGTTATTTTATGGGGAACGGGTTTTAAAATTTAGGGAAACCCAACTGATTTAATTCTGTTTTAATTCTTTTTAATTTTTATACTGTATGTGTTTTAAATTTTGGCTGTTCACCGCCGTGAGTCCTTCGGGAGAAGGGCGGTATACAAATTTAAATAATAATAATAATAATAACAACAACAACAACAACAACTCCAAGAAGTCACCACACCCATTCGCACCAATGACTCTCTTAAAAAAATGCAAATGACCAGCTATCTACAAGGAATATAAATCCTTCCATTCCCCACCATCCAGTCAGAGCTGAAGAAGCTTCTTGGATGAGAAGCAAAACATCTTCCAAGAAAAACCAGTTGCCTCTTGAAAAAGCACCTTTGGGACTATGTATTCATAGTTTGTTGGGTTGTCTTGTTTCACAACTGAAGCTTCTAAAAGTACAAAAAGGAACTCAAAAATAGAATAAATGTTATTTATGGGGCAATCTGAAATTGGCTTATTAGCCCAGCAGCAAGTCTCCTTGTATTTAATAGAATCTGTTCCTATCAAATATAAGAGAGCGTGGAATAACAAAAGGCCAGTTTCAACCTTTGGGTTATGTGACTCTTACAGGTAGGTTATTGTTAACCTAATTGTATGAATGATGTGCTTTTATGAGGTAATCAGTGTACAGATAGTCCTCAACTAACAACATTTAGTGTTCATTTAGTACTAAATGTTGTTAGTTCTCAAATAACAATATTTAGTAACATTCATTTAGTGACTGTTCAAAGTTACGCCGGCAATGAAAAAAAAGTGTCTCAGGACTGTTTTTTAAACTTATGACCATTGTGGCATCCCCATGGTCACATGATCAAAATTAGGACATTTGGAAACTGGCATGTATTTATGATGGTTGCAGTGTCCCGGGGGTCATGTGAACCCCTCATGCAATCTTCTGACAAGCAAAGTCAACGGGGGAAGTCGGATTCACTTAACAACCACGTTAGTAACTTAAGAACTGCAGTGATTCACTTCACAACAATGGGCAAGTATAGCCGTAAAATGGGGCAAAAGTCGCTTAACGAATGTCTCGCTTAGCAACATAAATATTGGTGTCAGTTGTTGTTCTGTCCTGACTACATGTTAATCTGTGCGCAGCTCGACATGCAGCTAAACCAGGGGTGAAATTTAAAATTTCTTACTACCGGTTCTGTGGGCGTGGCTTGGTGGTGGCGGGGGTAATGTGACTGGGTGGGCGTGGCCAACTTTTTTTTTTTAACTTTTCAAAGCATTTTTTCTTTGAAAAGCCTCTGCCGATCAGGCAACTCAGCTGGGATCGTCAGAGAGACTTTTTAAAAAAATACCTCTCTGCCGATCAGGCAACTCAGCTGGGGTCGTCAGAGACTTTTCAAAGCATTTTTTTTTACCATCTCTTCGGCCAAGAGGTTGCAGAAAGAAATGCTTTGAAAAGCCTCTGATGATCCCAGCTGAGCCACACGATCATCAGAGGCTTTTTTTTTTACTTTTAAAAGCATTTTTTCCTTGGAAGAGTTTGTAAAAAAAAATGCTTTTAAAAGTTAAAAAAAAAAAAAAGCCTCTGATGATTGTGTGGCTCAGGTGGGCATGGGGGGGGAGCGCAGGGATTTTTGCTACCGGTTCTCCGAACCACCCGCCATCGCTACCGGATCAGGTGATCTGGTCCGAACCGGGAGCATTTCACCCCTGGGCTAAACTCACCTATCCTCCAATAAAACAGACTGTCTGTGTAGATCTGAATGCTTTATTGAAAGAACAGGATATGGTGAAACTGGGGAAAATAGGGATACATACAATCAGAACCAAATACAAGACAAACAGTATTAAGTTATTGCTGAACATAACTGAACATAACAATTAATAAATACAAGGAACCTAAATCTCACCAGCGATGCTCTGTGCGTAGGATGTGGGTTTCTCCTCTGATGACCATGTGCCACAGATTAAGATGAATGCTTCTTTGTGCTTCTGCCTTTTCCAAATGCTAAAGGAAGTGGAGTCTGACTTCCCAGCGTGCACTTATTTTGAGAGTGCAGGCTGATGGGTAATGAGGTTGGGTCAGCTTCAAACAATATACTTGGTATTTTGTCTCTCCGGCCACTAGATGGGGCCAGAGCGCAACACCAGTATATAAAGATAATATGTTGGGGCATATTTATCCCTCTGGCCACTAGATGGGACTAGAGAGCAATAACAGTATATAAAGGTTATATGCTGGAGCATGACAGTTGTGGTCATAAATCGAGGCCTGCCTGTAATCTAATCTGTTGCTCTTTCTCGCCCCAGATATTATTTTTCTTCAAGGTACAGAAGTCATATTTAAGGTAGCACTATGCCTGCTTAGCACCCAGGAGGAATGCATCATGTCGTGTGAGACATTTGAAGGCATTGTTGAATTTCTGAAGAACACTCTCCCCGACATGACACAGCCCCAGATGGAGAAGATAATGGCCCAGGTAACACAGGTTTATTCCTGCCTGCCTTCTCTTTCTCCTTTCCTAGGTGCAGAAATCCTTTTAAAGCCTCACTTGACTGACAATGCCGGGTTTTTGGGGTGACCTATGTCTCAAGGGATGTGGTGGCTCAGTGGCTAAGATGCTGAGCTTGTCAATTGAAAGGTCGGCAGTTCAGCAGTTCGAATCCCTAGTGCCGCGTAATGGGGTGAGCTCCCGTTACTTGTCCCAGCTTCTGCCAACCTAGCCGTTTGAAAGCACATAAAAAATGCAAGTAGAAAAATAGGAACCACCTTTGGTGGGAAGGTAACAGCACTCCGTGTGCCTGTTTAGCATTTAGTCATGCCGGCCACATGACCGCGGAGACGTCTTCGGACAGTGTTGGCTCTTCGGCTTTGAAAGGGAGATGAGCACCACCCCCTAGAGTCGGGAACGACTAGCACATATCCCTATCCCTGTCCCTGTCCCTGTCCCTGTCCCTATCCCTATCCCTATCCCTATCCCTATCCCTATCCCTATCCCTATCCCTATCCCTATCCCTATCCCTATCCCTATCCCTATCCCTATCCCTATCCCTATCCCTATCCCTAACACTAACACTACAGATTGAAAGTTTTAATGTACTCCTTCCAAAAATGGTGGTGAGAGAAGGTTCCACTCTCCCTCTTTGCTTTGTCACGTTGGTAACAGTGGTGGGTTTCCAGTATTCTTACCACTGGTGCGCCATGCGCACACCTTCCACATATGCGCCCAGCCTCAAAAACGTGCCTAAATAGGACTGCATAGAGCCGGGGTGGGTGGGCAGGTCCCCCTGCGATTTCCACTACCGGTTCGCTAGAACTGGTACGAACCGGCTGAATACCACTTCCGATTGGTAGTCTTTTTTCACATTCTGAGGTCCAAAGAGTTCATATTTGTCTTCTCCTCAAGTAACCGGTGGATTGTAAGGAATCTTTTTCCCCCTCTCTTTTGCTACCCATGGTAGGTATTTGAGATGGACATTTCCAAACAGCTTCATGCCTACGAGGTGGAGTACCATGTTCTGCAAGACGAATTGCAAGAGAACCTGAGCCCTTGTGAGGAGATTGAAGCTTCAGAGAAACTTGAAAGGGCCAACAGTCAGCTGAAGAGACAAAATATGGATCTCTTGGAGAAACTTCAGGTAAGAGTCAGGCTCAATCTGAATTTGGGAGGATCTGACAGTGTCAAATTAGGCAAAGAAGAAGCCCTCAAAGGAAATAGCCAGTGGCACCTTTCTTCCCCAGAGACGCACACTTTTGTCTGTAGATAATCCTTGACTTATAGCCATTCGTTTAGTGACTGTTAGAAGTTACACCAGCACTGAAAAAAATGATTTATGACCATTTTTCACACTTAGGATCATTGCAGCATCCCTGGTGTCACGTGATCAAAATTCAGATGCTTGGCAACTGACATGTATGTACGATGGTTGCATTATCCCGGGGTCATGTGATCCCTTTTTGCGACCTTCTGACCAACAGAGTCAACGGGGAAACCAGAGTCACTGAACAACAAGTGATCAATATTAACAACTGCAGTGATTTATTTAACTGTGGCAAGAAAGGTCATAAAACGGGGCAAAACCCTCTTAACGACTGTCTTGCTTAACAAGGGAAGTTTTAGACTCGATTGTGGTTGTAAGTCAAGGACCACCTCCATCTCATTCTTTGTTTTCATCCATAGATGTTCTTGGAATTTTAATGTTTAAGTCTGGGGGGGGGGGAAATCAGTGCATCTTCCTCCCCAATCTATATATCTATATATATATAAAAGCGAAAACCACTCACGCATCATCATAAAATCTACGAACTTGAAATTTGGCATGTATGTTCCTCTTGGCTTCTGGCTAACAAAGGATTTTTCGAAATGACCATGAGATCATTATTATTTCATATACAGTATTATATTCACACGCTCTGATGCTAAGGAGTTAGATGTTCTACTCTCCCTCTCCACCTGAAAGGAACTCTGTCCCAACTGCCAGTTGCCTTATATTAACATGCTCTGATGCTACCCCTTTGCAAAATCAGGTGTGGGCATGGCCAACGCGTGACTCACAAGGCCTGCGGGCTGGGACATTCTACTCCCTCTCCCCCTCCTATTCTATTCTATTCTATCCTGTCTTATCCTATCCTATCCTATCCTATCCTATCCTATCCTATCCTATCCTATCCTATTCAGATGGAATTTAAAAAAATGATGGAGAGGGAACCACTGAATAACAAACATGATCTAGGGCTAGATTGCTGACTTGCTGGGAGTAAGAAATAGGATCAATAAAATATGATGTATTTCTTTTAAATAAATAAATAAATCTAAAGGACACCTTTCTGAAATGAAGGGCTGTCCTTTATAATAAAGGATGCCTGGTCAATCTAGGAATCATGAGATTTGGTAGAACTGAAGGGCCTCCTCTGACCATCTCTTATTTCCTCTTTCCGCTCCTTGTTAGGTGGCCCATGCTAAGATCCAAGGCATGGAGTCCAACCTGGAAGAGGCCTTGAGAAGGGAGGGCCAGATGATGACTTTAATCCAGTCCCTGGAAGAGGAGAAGGCTCTATATCAGAAGGCCCTGGAGAAGATCTGCAGCTACCTGTCCCAAGAGGCCCTGTCTGACTGTGAAGAGCTGCTGAAAGAAGTCAACTGTCATCCAGACCAATTCTAGAAGAAAGCCATAAATGAGAGAAGGGGGCAGGAGGGAGAAGAGAAAGAGAGAGAGAGGGAAAAAGAGAGAGAGAGAGAGAACATGGTTTCTTCTCATAGATGGAAGGAAAGAAAAGGCCAGATCACTGCTGGGAAGGAGACCCACCTCATTTCACAGGATTCTACTGTACAAGGAGAAGCCGCAGTAGAGAAGAGGCCTTTTTTCAACCTCAATATGCAAATCCCAGGTTCATGTTGTCGTCGTCGTCTTCTTTTTTTTTATAACGCGTGTAAATAATTTGCAGTGCACAGTACAAAAGATGGGATCGAATGAAGAAGATCAGGTGTATATTTAGGACTGATCTAAACACGGGAAAACGGTGGAATTTTGAGACTGCTTGTGACTTAAACGTTGAAGACTCTACCCTTCCCTCCGTAAAGGAAGGTATGGGGTCTTTTCTATACGCTGATCAACACTTGAAAATAAATAAATAAATAAAAAGCAAGAATGTATTTCCACCTCCAAAAAGCAGCACAGATTCCCAGCTGAGGGGTGGGTGGGTGGGTGCTGTGCATGTCTGCTATATGTTGGGGGTCCGTTTCTAAAGTTCCTCAGGGAAGATTGCTGGTCCTTCCTTTGCGCAGGAACAGTTGTGTTCCTGCGGACACACAACTGACCTCTCCTCCTCTCCCCGTCAGGGAGAGCTGGTGATGAAAAGTTGATGAAAAGTCACCCATTCCCTATCCAGAAAAGCAAGGAAGACATATCAGGGACCCCTTCACTCCCCCTTCCTTGTGAGACAGAGAACAAAATGGCTGGTTGAGGTGTGGCTGGGGTGGGAGCGTGTCAGAATGCAGGTAGGACTTTCCAAGCAAACACTCCTCCTGGGGAAAGTCACCTGAAACTCTTGGGATCGACTCCTTTCCTCTGACCTGCAGGAATCCGTTTGGTTGAAAGGATCCTCCCGGTTGAGTGCTGTCCTTATCTTAGCACCTTGTAGCTTCTTCGTGCTCTGGAGGTTTAGTTGCACCAAGGTCACCGTTATAGGAGGACAACCCGTGTCACTTCAGCAATGGCTCAGAGACGCTATGAGGCACTACAAGTCCTGAGAGGAATGACCATCGCTTAAACACGATAGATGGAATGTCCTTCAGCCGGATGCCGAATCCTGCAGCCCGATTCCACTTGGCCAAGGAAACCCTGTAAGATCTTCCTGCTTCCTCATTTATCCAGCTCTTTTTCTCCAAATGTTAGTATTTCTTCCACGGGGAAGATCCCCATAAACCTTCAACCGAAGAACAACTAGGTTGTCACAGAATTAACGCTAAGGGGAGTGGTTATCCCCATGTGGCAGTTTGTACATTTCATCATAACATGTCTGTTCCCTCCTTCTTTTTTAAGAAGCATTAAGAAGCAGAGATTTGGCTTCTTGAAAATCTAGCAATTTCTGGATGGTGTTGATTGTATTGTTATTATTATTATCACCATCAACATCATCATTTGCTGCTCTGCCTATCCTGTTTCCCCCAAAATAAGACATCCCCTGATAATAAGCCCAATCGGCCTTTTGAGTGGATGGCAATAAGGCCAAGCGCTTATTTCAGGGTTCAAAAAAATATAAGACGGGGTCTTATTTTCGGGGAAACATGGTATTTCTTAAGGACGTTTTCTGGTTTTGGAAGCTATTTCTGCCATGCAGACCAGACACTCAAGTCAACATTTGATCTATCAAAATGATGAAAATATCAATCAGCCAACACAAGAAATATGTTTTGGAACATGTTGTCCCATTCCCCCCCCCCCACTCCGCATTGGGAACGACTTGTCGTATTTCTCCAGCTGCTTTCTCTAAAATTGTGCCAAATTCAGCCAAGTGTCTTCCTTGTCCAAGACACAGGTGTGGGTGAAAGTGCTTCCATTGCAACATGTCTTGTGTTATGCAAACAACAAGAAAACCAAGGAGAAACCACACAGTTGGCATTTTCCTCCATCCGCTGCTAATCCAACCTGCCTCCCCCCCTCCTTTTTTTAAAATTTCTTGATCATATAATTTCTTAAGTTTTCCTGGGCATCGTCCCAAAGGAAAAGCCAAAATGCATGACGAGACACTGCCCTAATTTCAGCTTTTTGCACGGGAGATTTCCCAAAGATTGCGTGTCTGGCGTTTTTTTTTTTTTTTCTCGCTGCTTTTTATCAAATCAACAGAATCACACCAAACCTGGCAGAGTTGCAGAAACATCACACTTTCGGAAGGAAAATTGTGCTGTTTCTTTGCAATTTCATTTGGGGCCACCTCGTGCACGGAAAAGCGGCCCCAGAGAATTGGATGCCGCTGGTCTGAGTTATTAAGGCACGCAAGACTTTTTTTTTTTAAATCACAATGTTTCACGCTATGTTGGTTTCACTGACTTGTTCATATTGTCACGTGGAAAATTTCCAATAAATGCCATTGCTGCGTTTGCTCGTATTGTTTTCATTTGCAGTCGGAATATTTCTACGGATGGTTGCACAAGGAGTTTTTTTTGGGGTTCCTCTCTTGTAATGTTAGAGCTCAGGATTACCCAGTTGAACGGACGAGCCACCAGATTTTTTGAGCCCAAGAAACATTTCGGGACATGATCTGTTGATTGAAGGGTGTTGACTTTTAAAATTATGCTCGACACACTGAGATAACAAGCCTTGATTGGCTGTATGAAAGAGGAGGAGCTGGAGGGATGTCCTGAGTACAGGGGTATCAAACTGGCGGCCTGCGGGCCAGATGCGTCACACGCAGGCAACGCCCACCATAGCTCCGTGAATGGGGAAAATGTCACGAAATGTCACTTGACACAGTGAGTTTGACACCTGTGTATCTGAGAGATGGACCTGGATTCCGGTACAGGTAGGCCTCAAATTACAACCATTCATGTAGTGACTGTTCGAAGTTACAACGCTGAAAAAAATGGCCTACTGCAATGTTGGTGAACCATTTAGGCACTAGTGCTGAAACAGGGGAGGGGAGGACGGGGGCTCACCAACATGTGCATGCATGCCAGAAACCAGAAGAGCAACTGCCCAGTGCACATGCGCACGCCGGGAAGATGATCTTCCAGTTTCCAGCGCGGGTATGTGCACCGGCCACCTGGTCTTCCAGTTACTGGCATGCATGCGCACACAAAGACCAGCTGGACGGTGCGCATGTGTGTGCTAGAAACTGGAAGATCATCTTCCCGACATGCGCATGCACACTGAGTGGCTGTTCTGGTTTCCAGCACTCCCGCTGTTCTGCCCCAGCTACGGACCCCAAAGAACACAGCACACACAAAGTTTGTACAAAACTTAATTTACTAAAATAATTCAGTCTTTTTCAAAACAAAGGCTGCTAAGAAACTTTCTTAACAGCCTACAAGAAACCAAAGATAAAGTAATCACAATCTTACGAAGGTTGGCAGAAAGCCCAGAAGCAATTTGCAGAGAATCCAGACGCGAAGTAGAGTAAACTAAAGTTGTTCCCTACAAATTGCTTCAGTCGGTGTTCCTCCTTAAATAGGCTAAGAGAGTGGCCAATTAGCCCCAAGCCTTATTCTTGAGGAGACCTCCTAAGGAGCCACTCCTGCCTTTTGGCCGCTCTGCGCGCCCGTGCATTGAGAAGAGGCTCCTCCTCTTCGTCTTCTTCACTTAAAGGAGCTTCTGGAGGTTCTGAAGGCCCTGGCTGAATCTCTGCCTCTGGCACCACATCTTATCCAGCCTCCTCATTGTCAGATTCGGGTGCCAACTGCACAGGCTGCTGGCACAACACCACACCAGCCTCCTCACTGTCAGAATCAGCTACAATCCGCACAGGCTGCTGACGGGCCACGACACCCGCACATGTGAAGACCAGCTGACCAGCGAGCTGGAACTGGAAGAGCAAACAGCAATGGCTCGCATTCCCGGAGAGATGGCTCTGCATGCCACTTCTGGCACGTGTGCCATAGGTTCGCCATAACGGGCCTACTGTATGATTGTTTTTTTGCACTTAACAAGCATTTCAGCATTTCCGGGGTCATGCAATCAAAATTTGAATGCTTGGCAACTGGCATGCATTTATGATCATCGCAGTGTCCCAAGGTCAAGTGATCACTTTTTGCGACCTTCTGACAAAAAAAAAAAAATAGTCAACGGGGAAGCCAGATTCACTATCTTAACAAGGGATTCACTTAACAACTGAGGCAAGAAAGATTGGAAAACGGAGCAAAACAGGAATTTTGGGCTCGATTGTGGTCATAAGCCAAGGCCTGTTATTCTTCCTCCCTGCCCTGTACAAAATAAATAAATAAAATGGCTCCTTGTGCCTGAAACAGAAACCAAAGCAAAAGATTGTGAGTTTGTTTTTGCTCAATCTCACCATGTTCTCTGTGGAAGGTCTGCAGAAGCTCCCAAGGCATCCTGAAGTCCCTTTCTCTGACAAGGTTGAGGTCATGATGCATGATGCCTCACAACTTTTAGGAACATCATGGGTGATTTCCTGAACAAATGTTGCAGCAGTAAACAGAAAAGACACCCGTTCCTTCAGCTTTTGTAAACGAAGACGAGGGCCTAAGGCAGCTTCATTCCCAGAACGTTACACCTTGAAGTCATTACAATTGGGCTCTGCGGGACCTGCTGTTTTTTTATTATTATTATTTTTATTATGGGAAGAAATCCTGATCAAGCAGAACTCTGTTGCTTTTATAGACAGTTCTGAGTCAGCAACTTTGGAGGATTGTTTGATCCCATGCTTTATGAGGAAAGGAAATTTCATTCCCAGATCTTGAAAAACCTTACTTAGCTGTTTTCTCCTTGGAAAAAAAAGAACAAAAACAGGCAGACCTGGGCTACCCCTTGGGCGCTCTATTTGGGTTTAATGGCATGGAACTTGAGGAACAGATTGCAGTAACTATCAATCTTGGTCTCTTGAAACTACAGAATGGATGCAAAAAAAGTGTTGACCTAATAATAAGTTTGTCTGTTTGGGCAAAGCTTGACAGTGAAGGAGACCGTCCTCCTTCTCTCCTGTTTGTATACAATTTGACCACCAAATTCTACTAACCTGCCATGGGCCACGGAGGTCACCTGGAGATAAGAAGTAGTAGCATTTTGCTCAGTTGCTTTAGGGATTCTTTTCCACCAATACTCATCCCTTCTTGCTCCGGTCCCTGGGGCAGGCATCTCAGCTTTGATGTTCAGGGAAGGCTGCACTCTGGTTGCAATTAGGCTGCTGGTTCCTGGCAGTCCCTGGTTGGAGGCAAGCTCTGCCTCTCTCTGGGTCACCTGGAGCAGGCTCTCTTCAGATAGTCCACCCTCTGCCATGGTTTCCCGAGTTTCTCTGCAAGCAGACCAGATGGCGGGAGTGACTGGAGAGGCCAGGACCCAGGAATCCCAGTAATTTTGATTAGTTTAAGGAGAGAGCTGACTTGCTGTCAGGGTTCCGATGGATGCCCTAATTAAGCCATGAGTCTTGAGCCAAGTCTCAAATCCAGTAATTTATTAGGAGCAACATGTCAGCATGTATCCAAGTGAAGTCAGCTCTGCCCCACATAGTTTACGGCCCACCTATGACCCTGTTTCCCTCTTCCTCCCAGGGTGTGTCATAAATCACATTCTCCAATGGAGCACTTTCCCGGGCTGCAGAATTCACGCCTCTCTGGCTAGTTCTGGTAACCTGGGATACAGCCTTGAGAAAGGTATGCGTGGAATGTGCTTCTGGTTGTGGCTGCCGTGCTGCTCCGTCAGTTTTCTCCCCTCCTGCCTATGGCAACTCGAGAGCAGGCCAGGAATGCTTTACGAGTTGACACCGTCCTCCTTCTCTCCAGCCTGTTTGCCACAATTTCACCACCAAATTCTAATAACCTGTCATGGGCCATGGAGGTCACCTGGAAATAAGAATAGTACCATTTTGCTTTTTGTTAGCTTTCATAGGAAATTCATCTGGAATATCTCAGTGTTGAACAACATTGGGGCAAAGGAAGTAGATGTTGGTTGGTTGGTCCATTCCTTGAGGTGGTTCCATGCCATTGAACATCCACTGGCATCTTTGTCCCCCATTTGTATGGCTGATCTGCCTGGATGCTCTTAGAACCCAGAACTTCTCTGGAGTCATTTTTAATTTGCTGATTGGGACAACCTGCTCAGGAGGAAAAGCTCTTTTGAACATCCTCCTCTTCTTGAAACAAGGACAACCATTAAGCCTTACCTTATATTTCTTGTCTCAAGCCTGGCTGGATCTAGGTGGGTGATGGATGCAAGATCCCGTCCATATAGAACAGTGGATGGTCTCCTGCCTCTCTTCATCATTGAAGGTTGGCCACTAGAGGCCCCAGCTGCTTGGGCAAGTCCCAGAGAAATTGCTTCAGTGTTTGCCATTAGCTGGACTTCCTGAGAGACAGCAGTCTGTGTTTGGCATATAGGTTAATCAGGTCTCTAGATTCACAGCTGGTTTCTCTCTCTCTCTCTCTCTCTCCCTATCCCCCCTGTCCCTCCTTCCCTCCCTCCCTCTCCCCCCCTCCCTCTCTCCTTCCATGTTCCTTTCCTGCATCTCTGCTGTTATTTTATTCCTCTTCTAGGAATCTTATAGGATGGGATGGGCTTGGGATGGGAGGAGAGGAGAGGAGGGAGAAGAGGAGGAGAGGGAGGAGAGGAGAGGAGAAGAAAGGAGAGGAGAGGAGAGAAGGGAAGGGAAGAGAAAAGAGAAGAGAAAAGAGAGGAGAGGAGAGGAGAAGAGGAGAGGAGAGGAGAGGAGAGGAGGAGAGGAGAGGAGAGAGGAGAGGAGAGGAGAGGAGAAGAGAAAAGAGAAGAGAAGAGAAGAGAAGAGAAGAGAAGAGAAGAGAAGAGAAGAGAAGAGAAGAGAAGAGAAAAGATGTATTGTCATTTTTTACTGTGGGCACACTGGCACACATTAAAAATATACTTATATACCTACACCCATAAACATACACACACACACACACACACACACACACACACACACACACACACAGACTTCGCCCTGTTCTTGCTTGCCCAGTATCAGTTATCCTCAACATTCTTTCACTTTCTTGCTCAGAATTTCTCAGCATCGCAGTGTTGGCAGGAGCCTCGTAATATCTGTGTTAGGCAACTGAGCGAAGAAAAAGAAATGCTATTTCTGAAGCCAATTTTCAGTCATTTGCAGGCGTGACCCGATCAGCCCTCCAGTTGCTGTGATTTATTCCAGCTTCTATCATTTCTCCTAGGATAACTTTGTGTTTCTTCTCTTCTGTGTTGCTTCGGTTGTCTTGTTTGGACTGGGGGAGAGTGTATTTTCCACCTGATGTATCTACAGAGGGAGCCAATGCAGCACAGAGGTTGCTTCTAAACTTTGATGGAGAAAAACCAGGGCTACATCCCAGTGGTGGGATTCAAAATTTTTTACTACTGGTTCTGTGGGCGTGGCTTGGTGGGCGTGGCAGGGGAAGGATACTGCAAAATCTCCATTCCCG